TCGACATCTCAATGGAATTTTATTTGTGAAGTTTAAAGATCATTTTGATTTCCTGCTTTTGCACAGGGTCCATCTCTAAATACCATTACATGGGGGGATCACATATGAGTTTTGGGGTGGGGGGCACAATTGGGACCACAGTACAGGGTAACTGAAAGTGTTGGCGGATGGGCTCCTCTTCCATTCTCCTCTCCTTAGGATTAACAACAGAGCCCATAACCTCACTGTATAATATGATAATATTCTTACAAACTGTTATCTGAAGGGGTCAAGGGAGTGCCTGTGTGCTGGAAGAAGGAACAGCAAGTCTCCACACCTTCGTTTGCAGGAGTGGGAGCCCCAGCCCTCTGTTCCTTTTAGCAAGACTCTGAAGTGACGTTCTTCCACCTCTAGCCTGAGGACTTTCAGCACTGGTTATTTCTATCCTTTGGTCATCCAGGGGATGCTGTGGGGTGCTGTCAACATCTTCCCCACCTCCCTTTAAAGCTGGGTCCCCAGGTGCTGGGAATGTGGGACCTTAACAGCTCTCAGTTGAATTCTCCTCCAGAGTTTGCCCTTGGCTGGAGGAAGCCACCTAGATCAAGACCTGCTCCCTCTTCCTTGCCACTCAGTATCCACAGCCAATGACTGGCTGATGCAGGGGCGGGTGACAGCCTGGCCTCCTTGCTTCAATTCCAGGCAGCTCTGAAAGGTTTCCTGGTTCTAGAGCTGCTACTCATGATATTGGTGGGGGCCTTCGATGTGACAGCAACACAGTCCAACTCTCCTTCTGCCCAATCCTGCTTCCTTCTCCCCTGATAGGTATCAAACCTCTTGCACACAAACCTCAGTCTCAGAGTCTATTTCCCAACAATCTCCTATTTGCATTTGGCTCTGCCTGGGGCTTTTGTGGGTCCTTCCTCCACCTCTCTGCATTCTTTGAAATTCTTTCTAAGTACCTTCTGGAATTTCAAATCAGTCAACAAAAATCTGTATACGAAGCTTTGAAAGAGACAATCTTATTTCAGCCCCCTGGCTGTTAGAATAGTTATTTCCAGTTTTCTTTTATGGGGAGGGGTCTCTGCAGGCACTCAACACCGATAGTCCCTGAGCTCTGTCTCCTGTCCCCTCACCCTTCGAGGCCACGAGAACCTGAGTTCGCATTTACTCATTTTGAAAAATGCCCTTCAGCTAAAATGCAGTTTTAGTTTTCAGTTTGTTTTCTAGAGGACAGTCATGCTACAGGGATGGAAATGAAAACTCCACATCTTATCTTTGTAAGTATGCATCAGGTCTGAATGCCAATGCCTGCTGCAAGAATTTCAGCAATGCTATTCTTTCTCCTCCAAGGCCAGGCGGATTGCCAGTTACCCAGTAATAGTGGGTCTGCCCAGTGAAAATTCATAAAGACAGAGTGGTTTCTCATCCAAATTCTCATCCTCTGATAAGGAGGGCACGGCCAGCACGCACGCATAATGAAAATCAAAATTATAAAAATATTAGTCATCTGAACATATGTCACATGGTATAAAACATAAGAGACCAGTTCTATGACTACCACTGATACTGCACAGCTTTCTAGGGGAGCATTAAATAAAGTGGGGCTTCTCTGACAATTTGTGACTCTCATCCTTCAATGAGATTTGTGAATCCATCCGCTCTCATCCTTCTATTGACCCTGCTGGGACTCCCTGTCCTCATGCTCTGAGCTGAGAGGCTTGGCTTTGGATCCCACGACCATAGTCCCCAGAAATCACAAAGTAAAAGAGCTAAGCATGGTATAGCATAGCAGACCAGGTGGGCCGGGGAGAAGGAGGCAGGGGTGTACAGGAGAAGGAAAAAGATGAGGCAAAGGTGAATTGCTATAAAGTGGGGAGGTGTGGGCAAGGGGAGGTGCTGGTTTCTGTAGAATACTTTCAGGCAGTGTTGGATTTCATCACTCAGAGCAGCGTTCCCCAAACATGCCCAGATATGGGGCATCGTGGCAAAGGCAAGAACTTGCATTTCCAGAAAGCTTTTCCTGGAGATTCTGATTCGGTAAGTCTACAGCAGGGGCCACGGGATCTGCATGTTTCTGTTTAACAAGTGATGCCACGGTAGATAAAATACAGCTTGACTAAAAATAAGGATAAATAAAGGACTAATAGAATTATGTTTAGCACATAAATAACCCAAGCATGGCATATTGGACTACACGGAGACAGAACAACAATCTTACAGCGGAACATTTGCAGGAAGCATAGACTAAATGGTAAGCAAAAACCTGAGATATCTTAACGTTGTCTTTCATGAGAGCATTAAGCCTACCGGAAATAGACGTCTAGGTTTCTAAGAGTTAAGTTAAAAAACAAGACTGACAGCACTTTGGGACCAGAGCTTTAGAAAAGGAACTGGGAGGAACGCATATTGCCTGCTGCCACCTTGTGGCAGAATTGTGTAGTTAATGAAGACCAGCTTCAAGTGGAGATGGGTCCTTTGACAAATGTTAACTTAGAAAAAAAATCACTTGGATTATGAGTATTTTCTTTGCAAAAAGGTTCTTACTTAAATTATAGTGTTGTCAAGACAAGCAATGATAACTTTCAAAGACAACTGATATAAAACATTAAGTATTTTTTTTAGCATAGCAAATGCTATTCTGTCATTTAACTTATTTTTCCAGGGCTATTCTTTTTTTTTTTTTTTTTGCTTGAATGAGATAGTGAACAGGTGGTGGTTGGTAGGACATAAGGAATGTGGTCCATGAGAGAATTCTTCGCCATCCTCTCCTTCGTCTAGTCTATGTTCCTGGTTCTTAGGGTGAGGCTACTACCTCTTCGGACCAGGATAGGCTTTTGGGAAGGTGTCAGGTGGCTGACTGGGGCTTTCGGAAGAATAGCTGGAGAATTCGGTTAACTGCACATGAGAATCGGAAGGTTCTGCAAAGGTCTGCTCTCTTCTCATCATCTTCTCTAGCACTCTGAAGTGTGAGTTGAAGTCAGGGGTGTTCTGATTTGATCTGGATCAATTTTCCCAAAATTCTCTTAGTTCTGCCCACCTCTGTGTTGGCTTCTTTATCAAGCTGGGTAGCAAGAAGGCTCCAACAATTTTGGGCCTTGCATAAAACATTCAGAAGAGAAATAAATTGCTTTAGTCCTTTTATACCAAGCAATCCACTTTGATTAAACTGTCCATTTTTACCAGTAGGACTTTGGCTTGGGAAATGGGACTTACTGTTTATATTAACACAATCCTTGGAAGTGAATTCAGCTTCCCCTGAAACATACAGAATGAAGGGAGCTAAATGGATACATGAGTAAATTCCTGGCTGTGCTCTGTTAAGAGGTGAGAGAGGGGGGCTGGAAGCTAGGTAGGCAACCAATAATAGTGACTTAATATCAGCAACTGATTTATTATAATACAATACACAGGTGATGATACTCAAATGAAACTCACTTTGTGTGAGGAAAGTGATAATAGTGGGGATTACGGTAAAGAGGGATAAAAGTGGAAGCACTATTCAGTTCCAGGCATGTGGCCATGCAAGAATGTAAGTCCAGCATTGCTAGATCTACAATGTTTTTAAGAGAAGTTGATAATGTGGACTTTTATGTAAAATACCTTATTTTAAATGTTGGTGATTAAGATCAGTTTTTGTTTTTAACCACAAAAGGTAGCCAATGCTGTACAAAATAAACAAGCATATCTATTGGCCTGTGAAACTATTGTTTACAAACTTCGGGCTAGAAGAACCCTTGCTTGCCATTCAGTGATTCTGCGGTTGCAAGGCTTGACAAGAGTAGCCAATGGAGGGAGAGCAGAGAACCAGAGTTGTTATCTCATAGAGTGTATTTCAGCAGGTGGGTCCCCAAACACAATTCAGTCTTCTGCTTTACCTAACAAAATGTGAAGTCCACTTAGAACCACTTCTTTGCGGGTTAGGCAGTCTGCTAGTACCTGAAACCACAAACACTTTTTTGTGTTTTATTTATCTTCTTACTATTATTTATCTTCTTACTAATCCACAGGTAACACCCAGCAAGAACAGGGACAAAAGTTTTCACACTATTAGAATTCTAGCGTGAATTAGGTTTGATCTTTCTTTTTTCCCCCTCCAAAGAGGCCTAAATTTTGTAGGTATGTATGTATTTAGATATAACACTATCTCCAGGCCACTATCTGATGTCATTAGTTTTACATAGTTCTGCGAGGCATACAGCTTTTTATTGATAAGATAGATTGATTACCTTCATATCATTAAAACATTTAGTTTAACTGAATGGGGAATAGCACTGTGCAATTGACAAAAAAAAAATCAATGCTTAATTACCTTAAAATGGACTAGTGTGGAGATTACAAGCTATTGATTTGTTTTTTTATCGCTCCCCTGGTCATTTCCTTGTTCCAAAAAAGCACAAAAGCAGTAATTGTCATCCTTTCTGCACCTTAGACTCTCAAGAGAAGGTGGGGGTTAGGAGTGAGGTTGAGGGAACGTTTTTTAAAAATGTCTACGTCCAGATAGTACCCTAGAGACACTAAAACACCCCCAAGTGTTTCTAATGTGTAGGCAGGAGGTATATAGTTCCCTGTAAGAAAAATCCACAAGCCCTGAAACCCATCAAATTTCTTGGATTTTCTCCAGAAGCCTTGATTTCAACTCGAGGTGCTCTGAGTAAGTAACATTTTCCCAGGAGCCTGAGGCTACTTCCCGCTCCCCCCGCCCCCCCCCCCGCCCCGTTCGGAGTATCAGCAATTCGGCAAGCTGAATGGGACTAGGTAGACCAATAACAGGCAACAGAACAAAGCATTTTATCTAATAGAAAAAACAGGTAGCAGTAAAAGATCAACAAGCCAAAAAAAGTCACTGACACGCTCCAGCGTCAGCCAGGCAGCGACACACCTTCAATTCTGCGCGGATGCCCCACCCCCCTCCCGCGTTGCTAGAGAGACCGCGCCTACTTCCGGGCGCTTGGCGCCCTCGCGCACGTCATTTCCTTCCGCTGGTTGAAGCGACGCCCCCATTCCCTTTTCCTGTGCCTGGCCCCGCCTCCCGGAAGCCCCGACCAGTCTTAGCCTGCGGGTCAGGTTTGAGAGATGGGCCGTTTGGGTAACGTTGTTGATTAAGTATCCCCAGTTCTGCTGTCGGGAGAAGCGAGTTGGGGGAAGCCAGGTTAGATCTCGGCCCAGGGAGCGACGGGACTTGCGGGCCCTCGGGAATCTCCACCCTCTCCGGCTCCGGGGCCTCCTTCTCCCAGGCCTACGTTTGTACGTGCAGGAGCATGGGGTCCTCGGCAGCTCGCGAGTGAGATTGAGGCCCTTCTCCTGCCCCACCGTCTTCTCTGTCTCCAGGCGTGGACCGACTCAGGTTGCTGCCACCGACATCCCTTTGCCTGGAGCTTGAATTGGAGGTAGTGTGTAGTTTGTAGTTTGGGTGATGTGATCGCAGGGCCGCTTTCTAAAGTAGCTGAGTGCTGTGGCATTCATTCTTTTTCCTTTGAGCCTGGGTACCCTGGGAGACAGGTAGGCAGACAGAACATTAGTTCACCTCCATTGTGCATATGAAGAGAACGAAGCTCAAGAACTCTTTCAGGGCCAGCACTGCTCCCTAAACCATCGAACTGGAATTTGCATCCCAGTCTAGCTTCTTCAGGGTTGCGGAAAATCATGGGGAGCACATTTGGAAATAGTGGGAAAAAGTGCGAATATAAAAAGGAGAGGTAGCATTTCTGAGTGCATACTTCATGTCAGGCATTATGCTAAGTTTTTTCTGTACTTACTCATTCCTTATAAAAGGCATAGAAGCATATGCTGCTGTTGTTATTTTTGGTTTAGGAAATAAATACATACAGGCTCAGAGATGATAACTGACTTGTCCAGTATTAATGACTTAGTAAACATCTGCCGGATGTATTTACAGCTCTGTGATTTCTCTAATGCAGCAGTATTAGCCTCTATCCTGATCATACTGTGTTTTTCCATTTCAGGAAATGAGATTTCTGACATTTTTCTCGGTCTCTTCATCTTTTACCCATTGTCTTATTTCTTAACCAGCATCCTATCTAGAAATATGTAGTCATGTAAATTCAGCCCCAACTCTTAATCCACAGTTTACTTCTTTCTTTCCAAGAGGAATTTGGGGATTGTGTTGCTTGGTGTGGAATGAATGGCTAGGTTAAAAGGTTGGTCAGAAGAATGGCTAGTTTTTACATCATAGGTGGTCTCTATGGTTGCTCTCCTTGCATATCTTACTTAAGTTTCTGTCTTTTTTTTCTCCAGGAAAACATCTATCATCTTGTGCCAAGATGTCAGGGATTGGAAATAAAAGAATGGCTGGAGAGCCAGGCACTTCTGCGCCTCCGGAGAAGAAGGCAGCTGTTGAAGATTCAGGGACCACAGTGGAAACGATTAAACTCGGAGGTGTCTCTTCAACGGTGTGTGGAAACAGTAGTAGGAGAGTGTGCTTTTCTTCTGTCAGTTGTAGCCTGAAAGTAGGAATTTATGGAAGCCTTCTGGAATAAGGGGAACTGATTGGAAAAGAAGAGGCAAATAAAACAGCCAAAAGTAGATGGAATGATGTAGTGATCTGTTCTGAAGAAGAGATACTGACATTTGATCTTTATTTTTAAAGGGGTGCTTATATTTTTTTGAAGAACCTGGTGCCTGGTACACATTGATTATAGGTGTTCAGTGGTGGGAAACTGTACCTTCATTTTTCATTCTTGAAAGATTAGGTTTGTGACCGGGTAACTCAGTTGGTTAGAGCTTTGTCCCAATGCACCAAGGTTGCAGGTTTCATCCTCGGTGGGGGCATGTGCATGGGAATTTCAACGAATGCGTAAGTAAGTAAATGGAACAACAAATAGGTGTTTTTCTCCCTCTTCATTTCTCTTTTCCTCTTCCTTCCCCCTCCCCCTTCAGCTCAATAAATAAAAAGAAGAAAGAAAAAATTAGGTGCCAGGTACTGAGAAGTAATGTAGCACAATCATGATTAGAGTAGTGAAGACTCAGAGACTGAGGCCCAGCTTCCTGGAGTTGACTCTCAGCTCCGTTACTTCTTGCTGCATGGTGCTTTGTTAGCCTCCTTGTCTGCAAAATGTACACAAGTACCTGTGTACCCAAGTACACAACCCAAGTGAATGGGTTGTTGAAACGATAAAGTGAAAGACCTTGATAAGGGCTAAAATATTATTTTTAACATGGTAAGTACTCAATATGTTTGAGCTATTAATGATTATTGTCGGGCTAAATATTATGAATATAATGTTGCATAAAATAGGTATTGTCCTTGCTCTTTTGAAGCTGACATTTTCATTAGATTGTTAGACACCAAACTCTTAATAGTAATGTTATGTGTCTAGTAGACATTAGAACTCACTATAATAGTGTGCTTCACTATTTAGATCAAGAACCAAGCCTGTATTTTGGAACTCAGCCATGGTGATACATTATTACAATGCTCTACATTTGTATAGGTTACAAAACCACACCTGTTACTTATTTGAATTGAGGCTGAAGATCAGAGAGAGTAATAGGGGCACTCAGTGTACATTGTTGATGAGGTATCATTTTTGAGTCTGTCTGGAGTTTAGCTATTCCATTCTGCTGCCAGAAGGTGACTTGGTCTCAGCACTGTCTCACATCTAGCATCCCAGGGATGTTTATTCATTCAGTAAATAGGAGTATTTGTTAAGCGTCTGTTATTTGCCAGACACTGTGCTTTACACTGAGAATAGCACCTGGACTACAATTTGCAGGGCGGCACTGACAAGGGCATAGACTGTTGGAATAGAATGGGATGTGCGCTGTTCGTAGGGATAACCACATGCTCTAAGGAAGCACAGAGCACACATACCGTTTGGACTTTATCCAGAAGACGGGCCAGCTGTTGGAAGGTCTTAAGCAGGAGAGTAACAGTCTCTGAGTTATATTTGGAGAATAGACTAGAGGAGCCAGGGTTATAAGCAGGAGTCCAGTAAGCAAAATTATTCCCTCATTCCTTCTCCCACTTCCCCAGCTCACTCCACCTTACTAAGGGTGGGGAGCTGGAGCAAATGTCCACTGTTTCTTGCCCCAGTTGTCTGAAGGTTGTTCTTGAAGGCACTGACGCCTCCTTTGTACTTCAAGGTTGCCAGCTGAGATTGCGGAACAAAAAACCACACAACTCCAATGTGTGCTTGAAGTGGGAACTGTGTGAATGGAGCTGTCCACCACAGCTGTGCTGAAATCTGGCAGGCTGACAGGCCAAGGCACAGGGCAGCAGAGTGTCAGAAGCAGCAGGCTGTTGTAATAACCTTGATGAGGGGTCACGGTGGTTTGGACCATTGTGGAAGTAGTGTTGACAAGGTATGCTGATGGGTTGGACGAAGCATATGAGAGAAAAGCAGCAAGATGACCGTGGGATTCTGGAAGTATGGCATTTCCACTTACTGAGCTAGGGAGGAGTATGAGAGGAGCAGATTATTGGGAGCTGTAGAGGGTGAATCATGAGTTTAATTTTGGATCTGTAAGTCTGAGATGTTTACTAGACCTCTGAGTGGATAGGCTGTTGGGTATGGTGATATGCAGTCCGGGGAGAGGTCGGGGCTAAAACTGTACATTTGGGAATGATTATTTTGTAGATAATGAAATCCATGAGACTAGAGGCTCCCTTCTAAGGAAAGAGTGCAAAGAAGAGAGCTAAGAACAGAGACCTAGAGCTCTACAACATTCTGATGTCAAGAAGATGAGAAGAGGCTAACCCAAGAGACAGCAAAAAGGGGCCAGAGAAGTAGGGGGAGAACCAGAGTGAGTGGGGCCCCAACAGCCAATGAAGAGAGTGTTTCAGGGAGTTGATCAGGTGCTGCTGATGGGTTGTATAAGGGGAGGACTGAGCGTTAGATTCAGCAGTGGAAAGTTCACTGGAGACTTGACCAGAGCTGTTCGTGGAGTAGAGATGGCGGAAGCCTGATTGCAGTGAGCCCAAGAGAATCTACAGTAAGAGAGAGGAATCGGGGGAAAGAGGTTAAAGGCATTGCTTTGGAGGACTAGTGATGTAAAATAGAACTAAAGGGGGCAATAGCCAGAGGGAAATGCAGTGTTAGGGGAAAGTTTTTTTTAGAAATTTTTTTCTAAAAATTGTTGCACAGATGGAGGAATGGGTCTTAACGAGAGCAGAGGCAGGTTTTCCAGAGACCGTTAGCAACCAGGAGAAGGAAGGGGCTAGACATAGATTGGCCAGTAGTTGTGGTTGTGGGAGATAGATGTGGCCGTCTTCTTCTGATTGCTTCTATTTGTGTTTTTTTTCCAGTGAAATCAGAAGCAAGACTCATCTGAGAGTGAGGATGGGGGAGGAAGTTGTGGAGGTTTGAAGAGACAGGAGAAGGTATGGAGTAGTTGTCCTGAAGAGAGGATGAACTCGAGAGGTGGAGTAGGGCTGGTGCTGTCATTTTTTCTAGTCATATTAAGCTGCCTGGCTGGAGCCTGTGGCTATAGGTGGAGAGTCGGGTGTTACCAGGATTGAGGTTTGTACCAAACAGTATGATGAAGGGGAGGATTATAAAAGGGCGTGATTATAATGACTGATCACGGACTTGAAGTTTGACAGAGAAGGGATTTTAAGGAGGTGAGAGGAGTGAAGGACATTGACAAGTGTAGGACCAACGGTGGTAGAGCCTGGAGGAGTTGAAGACTTGCTGGAGTCAGGAAGGTAGAGAGTGGAAGCTGGAAAATAGGTGGTAATCGTGGGGAATGGGCTGTTTGGAACTGAGGTCAAAGAGAACGTACAGGTCAGCTAAGACTAAGACTAACTGGGAACTTGGTGGGTGAGGGAAGTTAGAGGACAAGGTCCCTGGAAGAGAGGAGGTCAATGACTTGATCCAGTGTATATAGGAAAGAGCATCACTGGGAACTGCCGTCAGTAAGAACTCTGACGGGAGTAGTATTGCAGAGAGTGATGACGGTCTAGGTGCTAAGTCTTCGGGAAATGTAGGGCAGTGACCCAGGCATCTGGAAATGAGTGCAGCAAGGTGGGGTGCAGGTGGTGCAGGCCAGTGGCATGAGCTGCAAAGCCAGGAAACTTTAGGGAAGAAGGTGGGGTGATGGCCTGGGAGTGGCAGTTGGGAACAAGGAGGACACCTGTCTGTCTGCAGACCCAGGGCTTCAAAGGGTGTGGGAGAGAATCAGTGACTATCAGAGAAGCCTGCAGGGAAATGGGTATTTTCATCCAGGTTTCAGTTAGAGCAAGAAGGGGAAGAAAATAGGTTGAAGTTTATTAACAGTGTTAATAAGCTGGTACATTGGGAAACTATTGACTCCTTTAATATATCAAGAATGTTTTAACCAAAACAGAAGAAAAAATTAAAACAAGAAATTGGTGCTCTAATAAATAGCTCTTACCTTAAAATAGTCATTAATTCCTATCCAAAGTAAAAATGCCCTTTCTAATCCTCTTTCTTTGCCTAGAATACTGGCCCATTCCCCATCCTAGGGGAGGAGCAAGAGGGAGAGAAGTTAAAGATGCTGAGAGGGGTGTGTCATTACTGATGGAGTGATGTTTTTACAGAAACAAGGGATTGGGAGTCTGAGCACATTTGAGGTTGTAAGAATTATGCACAGGTTGGTAAGTGGCGGGAAGGGGTCAGGGAGTTGGGCAATGGAGCTTTCCATCCGATGCCTCGTATTTTCTCTGGAGTGGGAAGCAGAGTCATCTGCTGTGTGCATCACGAGAGGAGGCAGGCTTGGTAGTTCGATGTTGTCTCGTTGGAGCCTAGGGGATAACTCACTTGTCAAACGTTTCTAGAGGAATTCTAAGATCTGTTCAGGTCAGGAATTTATTTTATAGTGGCAGCGGTCTCCCAGGTTTAATGACCTTACCTACAAGTCTCAGCATACTGGGTACAGGAATGGAACAGTCAGATATGTGGGTTAATTCAGATTGGGATGGTTTTGCAGAGGTGGAATAAAAGGATTAAGGGCAGAAAATTGAGGAGCCCCACAGGTAGGAGTTTGAAGGAATATACTAGGGTATAGTCAAGGTATGGAAGATAGTGGACACAGAGGGGACTGACAAGGAGGGGAGAATCCAAAATTTGGAGCTCTAGAGGAGGGCCAGCATATTGCGAAGGGCATGAGCTACCTGGAAAGATGGGGGTTTATTAAGGGAATGAGAAGTTGGAATTTTAGGTTTCAGATGTGACAGAGTTCCAGACTGAAGTCCGAGAGGTGACTTGGAGGTATGTGGCTGAAGCACAGTGGAGGGGGTAGCCATTGGAGTTCAGAACACAGCTTAGATGCCAGAGGATGTGCACATATATGCACATTTATTGAGGCAGGGACTTGGGGTTCACAAGGACCCCAGTGCCAAAGTCTTGAAGGAATGAGAGGCAGTGCTCAGGTGATGGGTGGCTGTTGGACGGTGGAGCCTCACAGTGCAGGGCTTTGTGGATGTGCACAGGAGTGGGGCAGCGGGACGAGCAAGGTCGCGACTGTGGTGTATTCCTGCATGTCATTCTCCTCCCATCATCATAGACCCTTTATTTCTCCTGCTCCTACTTCTTCTCTAATTATTTGTGAAGTTTTTTTAAAAAAATGAATAGCTTTATTTATAGGAAATAACTAATCAACTACCAAGGCCTTGTTGAATTCAACAGCTGATTTGTCTGACTTCATTGTGGAGACTAATAAGATTGGTTTCCTGGGGCAGGAGGATTCAGACATTCGAACACTGCAAACCAAAAATCGCAAGCTGGCGGAAATGCTGGACCAGCGGCAGACCATCGAAGACGAGCTCCGGGAGCACATTGAGAAGCTGGAGCGAAGACAGGCCACTGACGATGCCTCGCTGCTGATTGTCAACCGCTACTGGAGTCAGGTAGCTGGCTGTGTGTCTGCTCAGATTTTCATTGCCCTTCTCCGTAGCACTCGCTTCATTTCCAAAGTTGTATCTTTTTGTTTTTCCAAACTACCCAATTTGTGCCTTTTTGTTTTTTTATAACTGCACCTAATCTCCAGTTTGATGAAAACATCCGCATCATCCTTAAACGGTACGACCTGGAGCAGAGTTTGGGGGACCTGCTCACAGAGCGGAAAGCCCTGGTCGTGCCGGAGCCCGAACCGGACTCGGACAGCAACCAGGAGCGGAAGGACGACCGAGACAGGGGTGAGTGTCTCTGGTGGGTTTGCCAGTGCGCGCTGTCTCTTTTGGAAGAGCCTTGCTTTGAGGCTCTCCATTGAGGGGGGAAATGGATTTTGGTATTTCCCATTAAGTAATTTGGGGGGCTTTCTCTTTCCCCCTGTGCCCTTCAGGGGAAGGCCAAGAGCCAGCTTTCTCTTTCCTTGCTACTTTGGCCAGCAGTTCCAGTGAAGAAATAGAATCTCAGCTGCAGGAGCGTGTGGAGTCCTCCCGCCGAGCTGTGTCCCAGATTGTGACTGTTTATGACAAGCTGCGAGAGAAAGTGGAGCTGCTGTCCCGGAAGCTAAATGGTGGAGGTGAGTCTGGAACCAGGAGACTGAGGGTGGGGGCGGGGGGAATGAGAACTCACCTCTGCGTGCTGATTTGTACTTTGCACAAATCAAGTATTTATTTTTACCTAAATGTCTTGGAATCCTAGTCTTCAGTGTTTCTGGTGATGTAAACACTTAAATTTTTTTTTCTTTATTGATTACTTAGTTTTGACTTCAAAACGTCAGTTAATATGTTCTTGCTTTTTGTTTTTTTGTTATCTAACAATTTCAAAAAAGAGTTGGCCCAGCTTTTAGAGTTGTCAGGGGATCTCTGTTTAAAAAGAAAAGAAAATATTATGGATGGAAAGTGTCTAAAATAAAAACATTTGAAATACGTATGATACTGTTCAGTGTTAGTGCAGGGATTTGTATTTGGACAGTATTGTTAAATATTTGTGTAGTTAGGTCGCATCTTATTAAATGCCTCGGTTTCATGTTTTTAATAGTAATGCTGGTCTAGCTATAGTATTTTAATTTCTCTGATTATCATTAAGACATTTAACCCTTTATTTCTGAAAGAAACATGTTAAGTGTAATGGTGATTGAACCACTGGGTAGGTAATTAAAATTTTATTACTTTGTAATTTTGGTTTTGAGGATACTTGGGCTAAATTATCAACAATTAAAAGAATGGGCATATAAAAGATTTGTGAAAATTTGGCAGGCAAGGGTTTCTTTTGCTTCTCTGTGTATTTCTCTATTTTATTATTTTGATAACGATTGTTTTAAAATATACAAAGCAGAAAACATAAAGGTGGACCCTGACAGTCCTCCCATCTCACTTCCCAAAGATAACCATTGGAAACAGACCTTTGTGTGTACGGATTGCGTTTCTTTGCGTGTTCCAGCCAAATCCTGTCTCGCGGGGCAGTGCCTCGGCTCCCTCTTCTTTGTCCCTCCAGTGTCTGGCGCTGTAGCTGGTGGGCACTTAGCTAATGGTGAATGAATGGCTTTCAGTCCTCCCTGTCACCTGATGGAAACCGAGCTGTGTGTTACTTTTTTCTCCCTTGGTTGTACTCACGCAGTTAGGGGGTGTCGTTAAGTTGTAGTTAAATGCCACGTGGGTATATCATGTGCTTTATGGTATATACCGTCCACATATTGTATGCAGATGATAAGACATATGCAAAGGTTATGGCAGTGTTAAACTTGATTTTATAAATGAGTATCAAGTAAGATAGTTGTTATATTTAAAAAGGAACTAAAGTGAGTCCTGGTGTGTAGCTCAGTAGATTGACCGCCAGCCTGTGAACCAAAGGGTCACCAGTATGATTCCCAGTCCAGGGCACATGCCTGGGTTTCAGGCCAGGTCCCCAGTTGGGGGCGCGTGAGAGGCAACCACACATTGATGTTTCTCTCCCTTTCTTTCTCCCTCCCTCCCTTCCGTTCTCTAAAAATAAATAAGTGAAATCTTAAAATAAATAAATAAAAAGGAACTAAAATGAGTAGTGTATTAAACAGTACTTTCAAGTTTTCTCTTGATGGCATGCATTTTAAGGTTTAAGTTAAAAAAATTAATCACAAGTTACCAGTTGCAAAGCTTAACATAAAGGACGATTGCCATTGATAAGCTGAACTTTCTAAGAGATAAAGATGCCTGAAGTATGAATTGTAGCGTCAACTCTAATGTTTTGGCAGTTAATTTTTTCCCACGTGTTAAATTTGGTCATTGATTCAAAAGAATTGAATTTATCAGCTTGTTTATTAATGCACTAAATATTTATTGAGCTCTTATTCTATTTTTCTTGATACTTTAGGATTTTAAGAGGATTGAACTTCATTCCCTACTTGTTAACTTGGATTATGAACCCCTTAACTATTTGCATTAAATTTTTGTTGTTGTTGTTCTGCTGATGGAGATTCTTATTTAGTAGGCACAGGATAGGTTCCAGGGAAGTGTCTAATTTTAAAAGTTGCGCATGTGATTCTGACAGGCAGTCCCGGTGGAAAACCACAAAAATCGTTACGTGACCGACCACTCCGTGTTGCGTTTCTGAGTGCTGCCAGGGCGTGGTATGAGAGGGCACTGCTTCTGTTAGCTGTCTCTGCAGGGCAGTGTGTGTCCCTGGAGTGTCTGGTTTCATGAAGGTACTAGCATTTGGATTTGAGCTTCCTATTCGTGACTCTGATTTTAAACCTATGAACTTGGTATAGTTAGTTCTGTAGCTTATTCACCTTCTTTGTAAACAGTGCACTTGGTTTTTCAGCTTCAGGAGTGCCCACAGTATGGTCTTTCAGAATATGATCAGTAATGCTGTGCTCTTTATTCTTTAGGACTTGATAGGTGCTCATTTGAACAAGGAAGTTTCTGCTCTGTGGTCCCCTTCTCCCTCCCAACATGGTGATGTTGCATGTCGGTGTTAGTGGATAATAGCAGTTTTTGGTAGCCTTATAAAGTAGAATTTTATTGCTACCAAGTCTGACAGGTTAGCGATACCTCTTCTAAAATTCGTTTTTTTAGGGTAGTTGTCCCTTATCTGAATAAAGTTGCAGAAACTCTCCATTTCCTTTTTAAAAAAATATTTTATTTATTTTTAGAGAGAGTGGAAAGGAGGGAGAAAGAGGAAAGAAACATTCATGTAGGAGAAAAACATCCATTGGTTGACTCTTGCATGCCCCCAACTGGAGACCTGGCCTGCAACCCAGGCATATACCCTGACTGGAAATTGAACCAGTGACCTCTTGGTTTGCAGGATGACGCTAAACCCACTGACCCACACCAGTCAGGTCTCTTCCATTTGTTTTCTCAAGACATTTTGATTCCATAGGAAGGAATGGGAGTTAGGTGACCTTGACTCTGTGATCATTTCCTTAAGCAGGTCATCTAACTTCTGAGTAGTTAATCTGTCTTGGGCAGATAATAAAAACCATCCTCCTTCTTGACATTTTCTGCAAAAGTAAGTGAGATTTCATGTTAATGCTTTGGTGGGACACGCGGTTCTGTTGTTTGACACTGTACATGCTAAACTATAGTTCTTCTCCCTCAGATACCCTGATAGTGGAGGAAGCAGTGCAGGAGCTGAACTCCTTCCTCACGCAAGAGAATATGAGGCTGCAGGAATTGACAGACCTCCTTCAGGAGAAGCATCACACCATGTCTCAGGAGGTACTTGACCGGGAGGGAGAGTGGCAGCTTCTAGTTCCCTGCGGCAGACGCCGACTCAGAATCCTGAGTGCTTCCAAGGTCATCTTACCCTGGAAGGCCTGTTTTTATATATTGAAGAGCACACAGGACAGGCGAAGGCAACCAGCTCCGAGAAAGCAAAATCTGAGGCTGGGTGTTCTGTAAGGAAGAAACCATTGAATATTTCTCCTTGACTATGCCTGTGTTCAAACAGACTAATTTTAGGATCTCAGTCTTTATGAAGAAATACTGGTGTGTGCAAAACACACCAAACCCCCAAATAATGAATTGCCCCAAATATAAAAGACCATGGACAATGACATTGAGGAAAGGGTTGGTAGAAACTCATCTGAGACTGGGGCAGTAGAAACTGCTGCATTGTCAATGGCCTAGGAACTTGAGGAATGTGGATTTCAGTCCAGACTTGGACCCAAATGGTGCCATGACCAAACCATGTCGAGATTTGGGTATTTATTTATATAAAACGACTGAGACAAGGGATGACAGGCCTTACACGACTCTTCTGATACTCATGAGTATCATTGTATCAGTAGTTTAGTTCAAGGGATATTCTGCTGAAGTTTGACCTACCTTAGTTATCATTTACTTAGTGCCTGGCACTTAGGTCCTCTATGGATATTAGCTCCCATCTTACTGCTGAGGAAACAAGTTCAGAAGGTTGGTGACTGGTCTGAGGGCACACGGCCAGAGGGGATGTGACTGGGGTGTAGGTCCGTTTAACCTCAGACCTGTGTTCTACATCATGCCCTCGTTTCCTAAACTCCAGGACCAGGGTCTGTGCTGGGCTGGTTGCATGAGAATCACCTGGGAAATGTATTAATATACATGGATTCTCATCAACCTTCAAAGGTTACTATAAAAAACAGTGCTTACAAATAAGTGGGAGTGCAGTAAAACATAATGACTTTTTGGTCATGCTTTAAGAGAAACTAGTTGCCACCAAGATGACAGAGCCTTCCTCTTCCAGACTTTCCCCCACATCTCACTTAACTTTACGAAGGTGGAAAGAGACATTGCTTTGCTCAACTGAACTGATATCCAAGGTGGCTCTGTGGCCGGCTGTTACTGCTGCCTGTCATCTGGGAGCTCACCTTAGCTGTCCACTGGAACACCTGCGTGTTGCCTCTGACACGGTAGTTCCAGGGTGGTTAGGCTGCTTATAGGGCAGCGACTTCTTCCAGAGACTGAGTGTCCCGGGAACACCAGGCGGAACCTCCAGGGCCTTTTGGACGTAGCCTCAGAGTCACGTGGCATTTCCACGGAGTCACTCGTGTTGACTCAGCTTCTTGACAAGGAAGCAGTGATCCCACCTCTTCGCTAGAGGGGCCTGTCAAAGAATTTTGGGGCCATGTTTTAAAAACCAGTACAAAGGATGTGTGTAGATTAATGTGCTCATGTATCAGTTTTATAATTAAAGCATTGAATAGTACTAGCTGGTGTGTAGCTCCTAAGTAAACAGAGAACAACAAAGATTTTTGTATCTTTATAGTGTCTATTTCAAGATTGTCCTGGGGTGAGCTTAAAAAAGAAAGTGGAAGTTTTCCTTTTGTTCTTTTTGGGTTATTATTTATGGAAATGTAGGAAGGAGAAGTTGAGGTTAAGGATAGCTTTCTTTTCCTTCTATTTTGTTTATAAGATTTTATTTATTTACTTTCAGAGGGAGGGGAAGGGAGGGAGAAAGAGAGGAAGAGAAAGAGCACACTCCCATCTAAGGACTTGGCCTGCAACCCAGCCATGTGCCCTGACTGGGAGTCGAACCAGTGAACTTTCGATTCACAGGCTGGCACTCAGTCCACTGAGCCACATCAGCTGGGCTGTCTTTTCTAAATATACACGTATATTTAAGTTTTTGTCTCATATTATCTGATAAAATCAAGGATGTTATCTTTTTTTTTCTCTTAAAAAATACTCGTTTTTCTGGTGGGTTTTGTTCTATATAAAGAAATGATGCTTCTTCTTCTTTGAGGTAGAAAAATTATTGAATCTTTTTTTTTTTTAAAGATTTCATTTATTTATCTTTAGAGGGGAAGGGAAGGAGAGAGGGAAAGAAACATCAATGTATGGTTGCCTTTTGTGCGTCCCTTGCTGGGAACTGGCCTGCAGGGAACCGGCCCACAGCCCCGGTATGTGACCTGACTGGGAATCGAACTGCGATTGTCTGGTTCGCAAGCCCGTGCTCAATCCACTGAGCTACACCAGCCAGGGCCAAAAATTATTGAATCTTAAGTAGTCTTTTCCCTGTGTGGAAGTTCTTATAAAGTTCTATGTTTTTCATGATTGTAACTTACTCAGAACTGTTAAAAGAACCTGTGATTTCATTTTTGTACTCATGCATTGGGAAGAAGGTATTGGTATAAGCCATTTTTTTAACCTAGTCTCTTTTTTTTTTTTTACTATATTTTCATGAATGCTTGTCGCTGGGATGTAGTTCTCCAAGTTGCAGAGTAAAGTGGAGACGGCCGAGTCACGGGTGTCTGTCCTAGAGTCCATGATCGACGACCTGCAGTGGGATATTGACAAAATTCGGAAGAGGGAACAGCGACTCAACCGACACTTAGCGGAAGTCCTAGAACGGGCAAGTGCTGTTTCATTTGTAGCTTGGAGACTAGAATCGTCTTACGGAGTCTGCTCAGAAAGGATGGACTTGGGTAGTAGTTCTGGGGGACAGATGGACTCCTTAAAAGCTCCTTTGGTTACCAGACTGAAACTTTGGGGTCTCTCACTAAGAGTCTCTGTCCTCTCTGTAGGTGAATTCGAAAGGTTACAAGGTCTATGGGGCAGGGAGCAGTCTCTATGGCGGCACGATCACCATCAACGCGCGGAAGGTGAGTCGGCCGCTCTCCCGGGGCGTGTTTGGACCTGGTGCCAGTGTTGTGCCAGGTACTTAGGGCTGCGTCCACAGGGGGTACAGCGGGGCTTTGATAGAAGAGTGGGTCGGTGAAGACAGACATTTAGGAAGAAAATGATTTTAAAACTTTTGTTCGCTACTATCATTTTACCATTTTTTTGCTTCTCTCCAGTTTGAGGAGATGAATGCGGAGCTTGAGGAGAACAAAGAGTTGGCTCAGAACCGCCACTGTGAGCTGGAGAAGCTGCGGCAAGACTTGGACGAGGTCACGGCCCAAAACGAGAAGCTGAAGGTAGGAGACACGTCTCTCACAGGGTCACAGGGAGTAAAACGAAACTTCTGCTGGCCAGCTCGTGGACATACTTGTGACCCCTCGTAATTTATGAAGGAAAGTTGGTCTGTCACTTATGCACTTATGTAGTCACATCCTGCCTCGTTCTGAGAAGATTTAAAGCAGCCTACAAAAATATGTAGGCTGAATCAAGGCACCGTAACTTAGGAATTGCTGAGAAAATGAGAAGTAGGATGAACGGGGGTGAGGATCCAGAGTGGATTTAAAAGATGGGGCCGTGCCTGGCTGGGCGGCGCAGTTGGGTGGGGTGTTGTCCTACGAACCAGCATGTTGCAGGTTTGATCGTAGGTCAGGGCACCTGCCTAGATTGCGGGCTTGATCCCCAGTCTGGGCACGTACAGGAGGCAACCAGTTGATGATGTTTCTCTGTCTCTCTCTGGCCCCCTCTTCCTCGCTCTCCCCTTTTTCTCTCTCTAAAAATCAGTAAACATGTCCTTGGGTGGGGACTAAAAAACAGTCGGGCTGTACACGAGACATAGGCCGGGAGCGTGTGAGCACTGTAGGAGGGTGGGCGGCTCGCATGTCCGTGACGGCCAGGCGCGGGCCCCGGAGGCTGGCTTCTGCAGCGGCCGGCTGCCGGAACAGAGAGAGAACCGCTCAGTGGTCTCGGTGGTGCTCACACCTGCCCCCCATTGGAATTTTCTCTCCCCGGGTTCTGGCGGGAAGCAAGTGGATTCTGAAAGTCTTCCGTTTCTCTTTCCATCACAGCCACCTGTCTTCATGTCATTGATTTGTTTATAGGTAAATATGTGAATAAAAGAAACATTGGACCTGAAAAACTACAAAAACAACCTGAGTAAAATCAGTTGAAGTGTTTGGGTAGTTGAAACAGATAGAGAAGCATAACTGTTTTTGATATGTTGAAAATATTTCTTTCTGTGACTGTTAATAAAGAGAGTTAAGTTAGGGACCGGGGTCCTCAACTACCTTCTTAAAATAAGCATCCTGACAAATTTCACAGTGCTCGTCGCTGTCCCTAGATCTGACAGATTTCACAGGGCTTTTCTAGTATTCTTGGATCTAGATTGCACATAGTATAAATAAAAACTTGTCAGTTAAAACAGTTCTTGTGTGGAAGAATACAGGTACCAGGTACCACCTCTTGGGTGGTCTGATTTAATTTAAGGTACATTTTACATACCCAGAGGAGTTGGTAGACCTACTCCATAACCTTCATAAAGTTTGTCTCAATTGCGCAGCACGTCTGAGTTTAAGATTTTATTTCCTCTCTGGCATCTAGGGCACAGATGTGAGAATCTGCTTCTGACCTTTTCTTTGGGTCCTCCCAAGGTGGAACTGCGGAGCGCAGTGGAGGAAGTGGTTAAGGAAACTCCGGAGTATCGCTGCATGCAGTCACAGTTCTCTGTCCTCTACAACGAGAGCCTGCAGTTGAAAGCGCACTTGGATGAGGCTCGGACCCTGCTCCATGGCACCAGGGGGACCCACCAGCGCCAGGTGGAGCTCATCGAGGTAACAAGTAGCCTTGTCTTCTGTATATAAGCTTTTTCTGCTTCATAAGTTTTTAATTTTGTTCTCTCGCGTGCAATTAATCTCTTATTGATTCAGCAAATACTTATAGAATGGCTATAGGTCTTCATTCTGTCATCTGGTGGGGATCCTGCCTTCAAGAATCATACAGTACGTGTAGTGGGGAGAACAGTGTCCATCAGAGTGCGGTGTGGTGCAGCAGGGGCGTATCCCACAGGTGCAGCGATAAGGGAGACAGCATCAGATCCGACTCTGGAGCCTTCTCGTTTCCGCTTGCCAAAATGCAGTGTGAATCTTCAGGATAAATATAAGTTTACTAGTAGATCAAAATAGGAGAAAGGCATTCAGCTGTGAGAACAACAGATATAAACATAGGGTGGTGTGGCTGGAGCCTTGTGTGCGTGGGGCAGAATAGCGGGTAGGAGCTATATCACTGTTTCTAAGCCATTGTAGCTTATCCTGTCTATGTAAATATGTTTTTTAAAGGCGGAAACTTTTATTTATGTGTTCATTTCTGTATCTTCTATAGTCCTTAAGGTAATGTTTATAGTAGTTGGTCTTTTGTTATATTTCTGCCAAATGAACTGAATTTAATATATCTTTCTTTACATATGCTCATTTTTGTTTTATTGGTTAGTTCAACCAAATTGTAACATTCTCCGAGGTAGTGGCCTTTTCCTTTTCTTTAATATTTGGCTGATTTTCAAGTCACTGTTTTCTAACCGGTGCTTCGTAAGTATTGAGTTGGAATTTTTCATAGTATCTCTCTCTTTTCTTGCTGTTTTCTTTATTTCTTCTTAGATCCATAAAGATCAAATTTAGGGAACATAATATAATATGATGATATTTCCACATTGTGATGAGAATTTTGATTGGTTCTTTTTTCTGTGTGTAGCGAGATGAGGTTAGTCTTCATAAGAAGCTGAGGACCGAAGTGATCCAGCTAGAAGACACCCTGGCCCAGGTCCGCAAGGAGTATGAGATGCTGAGGATAGAGTTTGAGCAGACCCTTGCTGCCAATGAACAAGCAGGTATAGTTATTTCTGTTCCTCCCTGCAGTTTGGCCACTGCAGGTACTTTCCTTGAAAGACACAACGCAGTTACCGGGATTCGTTAGTACTAACTGGAGTTCAGAAGTCCTAAAGAACCTAAAATCAAGTCCTGTAATTCATTCTGGTTCGTAGCCTGAATGTTTGTTTTTAACTCAAATTGGCCAGTTTTGTTTTCATCATCAGAGAAGGACTTTCTTTTGGCAAGTCTCCCTATTTCTTAGCATCCCCGATGTATGTGTTCTGTGCTCTCTCCCCTGTGCCTTTGCTGCCACAGTTCTTAATAACATGCCGTTGCTGTGTTTAAGGCCCCATAAACCGGGAGATGCGCCATCTCATCAGCAGCCTCCAGAATCACAATCACCAGCTGAAAGGGGAGGTCTTAAGGTATAAGCGGAAGCTGAGAGAAGCCCAGTCTGACCTGAATAAGGTAACCAGGAACAGTAGCATAAGTATTATTTGCTATTCAGTTTTTAAAGTGGTTTTCAAGTGAGGAAAGCAGTGCGGTTGCCGTGAGTGACGTGCTGCTTCCGTTTCTTTGTCCTCCCAGACACGCCTGCGCAGTGGCAGTGCCCTCCTGCAGTCTCAGTCCAGCACTGAGGACCCCAAGGACGAGCCCGTAGAGGTCAAACCGGATCCCGAGGACTCCTCTGCCCAGGCCTCTGCAGCGAAGGCTTCTCAGGAGGAAGTCAATGAAATTAAGTCCAAACGGGACGAGGAAGAGCGAGAACGAGAAAGGAGGGAGAAAGAGAGGGAGCGAGAAAGAGAGCGGGAGAAGGAAAAGGAGCGAGAACGAGAGAAGCAGAAACTGAAAGAGTCAGAGAAAGAGAGAGATTCTGCTAAGGAAAAAGAGAAAGGGAAACATGACGATGGAAGGAAAAAGGAAGCAGAAATCATCAAACAACTGAAGATTGAACTCAAGTAAGAGCAATGCTTAGAGTAACTTTCTGACCCAAAAGCCAAGGTTAGGACATCATGCATGAGATCTTTGGTTGGCGGCATGGCTTATCTGATAGTTATACTATTTTGAGTGTAACTAAATTCGCAGTTAATATGGTCTCCATTATGGTTCAGGTGTCCGGCCAGCATGACCCGCATGGTGCCGTGTAGTCCGTTTTGGTGGTCAGGTCTTGGTAAGCCCCACGGTTGTGGCTTTATTGCTCATGAACCCAAGTTAAGCGAAGGGGTGTCGTGGTTGAAGTAACACTCATGAGAAGTACTGAATTGTACCCCTGGCAGAATGCTGGCATTAATTATCATTTAAACTATATCAGGTAGAGTATGTATCACTATAATTTGGACAATACTGATCTGTTTGCCTGGAAGTTAACTAGTTTGTGTACATATCAATATCAGGTCATTTTAAGAGATTTCTTAAGAGGTTTATTTTTTTTAAGATATTTTATTTATTTTTAGAGGAGAAAGGAGGGAAAAAGAGATGGGGAGAAACATTGATGTGTGAGATAAAATATCAATCAGTTGCCTCTTGCCTGACCCCCAGGCAGGGAACTGGCCCGCAACCCAGGCATGTGCTCTGACTGAGAATTGAACCGGTGACTTTTTGGTCCATGGAGAGATGCTCAACCCACTGAGCCACACCAGCTGAGGCTTTTAGGAGGTTTATAGCTATGAGCATTAAAACAGGAAGACAGACCTTTAGGTCAGTGAAGCACTGTCGGCTCTCACACATTGCCCCTTCTCTTCCTGCTTATCTAGTAAGTTCTCTGGTAGAACAGGCTACTTCTTACCTCACGTTGGTCATGGTGAAGCCTGTATTGATGTTGGATCTAAGGAACCACTGTACTCAAAATGTTTAAACTTCTTTGGTGATGCAAGTGTAGTTAAGAGGTTTGATAATTTATTAAGAGATGAAGTTTCTGTCTTTGGCTGATGGTTAATCACTTAACTATCAAATCTAGGAATAGCAGTACATTTTAAATGTTTCATTTTTCTCTCCTCCTTTTTTTCTTTCTTTCTCTTGGTATCTTTAAGACAAAGGGTTTTTTCAAGTGTGGTGTCAGAATCATTTGGGTGACTTATTTAAAATACAGTGCTGGATCCCAGCTCAGACTGATTGAGTATCAGTTTCTAAGAGTGAGGGCCCAGAAATCTGCCTGTTCAACAAGGGCCTCGAGTGTTTATTTGCTAACTCTATGTTAGAGAACTTGGTCTGCAGGGAGAAACGATTCCTTTTACAACTACTTTTCTGTATTCACTGAGTATATCCCGAAGTCTGTTGATAGTCTGAGCAAGTTTTGTCTTTTAGATGTGTGCTGTAAAGTGTAGAATAGAACTGTGGTGAAATACCTTGCTCCATTTGCAATCCCCTTGCTCCGGTGCCCTCTGTTGTCTCTTTACCCCACTCGCTGTCCTCTGCCACCCCCGTCCAGGAAGGCGCAGGAGAGCCAGAAGGAGATGAAGCTGTTGCTGGACATGTACCGCTCCGCCCCGAAGGAACAGAGGGACAAAGTTCAGCTAATGGCCGCCGAGAAGAAGTCAAAGGCAGAGGTATTCTAGTCCACCGCCACCTGTCATTCGGGTTAAAATCTTCGTTTGCGGGATGTTCCTTCACACTTCTGAAGGATGTAGTTTCCTTCACTTTAAAGTTAGTGTTTAAAACGTAGCAACATTTCCTTCCCTTTCAAGGACCATCTAAAATAGAGATTTCCATATTCTCCACTAGGTGGTGGATGAGTCATGTCACAATTACTGGGAATAGGAGTAGCCTTTTCAGTTTTTTATCCACTCTTACCCATAAAAAAAACCATTGTTTTTTTTTTTTTTTTTTTTTTTTTTTTTTTTTTTTGGTTTTCAAATTTGTTTATGAAAGAACTTTTAGAAACATGGGAAAATCGCTTACCTGTGTAATTTTCCATGCTATGAGTTAGAGGTAGTACAAGCCCCCAACTTTCCTGTGTAACTCTTTTTTTTTTTTTTTTTTTTTAAAACTATAATTTTTGTTTAGGTTCTTCCATCTGATATTCTTTTCATTTGGATAATTCTTTTTTTCTTTTTTTTTTTCTTTTTTTTTTTTTTTTTTTTTTTTAAATTAAATTTATTTATTTTTTGAATTGATTATGCTGTTACAGTTGTTCTATTCCCCCCTCCATTCCCCTCCACCCTGCCCCCCCAACCCCACCATTACCCCCCTTTAGTTTATGTCCATGTGTCTCAAGTCCTTTAGGTTCTAAATTTCCCAAACTATTCTCGCCCCCCCATCTATTTTCTATCTACTGTCTATGCTACCTGTTTTCTGTACCTTCTCCCCCCATCTCCTCCTCCCATTCCCCTGTTGCTAACCCTCCTTGAGATCTTCATTTCTATGTTTCCACTCCTGCTCTAGCTGTCCTTTGGTTTGCTTTCGTTTTAGGTGTGGTTGTTAATAACTGTGGATTTGTTGTCCTTTCACTGTTCATGTTTCTTTATCTTCTTTTTCTTAGATAAGTCCCTTTAACATTTCATATAATAAGGGCTTGGTGATGATGAACTCCTTGAGTTTGGTCTTATCTGAGAAGCACCTTATCTGTCCTTCCATTCTAAATGAAAGTTTTGCTGGGTAAAGCAATCTTGGTTGTAGGTCCTTAGAATTCATGACTTGGAATATTTCTTTCCAGCCCCTTCTTGCCTGTAAGGTCTCTTTTGAGAAGTCTGCTGACAGCCTGATGGGGACTCCTTTGTAGGTGATTGTCCCCTTAGCTCTTGCTGCTTCCAGGATTCTCTCCTTCGTTTTAATTTTGGCTAATGTAATTATGATATGCCTTGGTGTGTTCCTTCTTGAGTCCAACTTTTTTGGTACTCTCTGGGCTTCTTGGATTTCTTGGAAGTCTGTTTCCTTTGCCAGATTGGGGAAATTTTCTTTTATTATTTGTTCAAATAGTTTTTCCACTGGTGGTTGTGTCTTTCCCCCCTCTGGTACCCCTATAATTCGGATATTGGAGCGTTTATAGATGTCCTGGAAGTTCCTAAGCTTCTCCTCATTTTTCTGAATTCTTATTTCTTCATTCCTTTCTGATTGATCATTTTTTTCTTCCTTCTGGTTTACTCCATTGAGTTGAGTCCCAGTTTTTTTTTCATCTCTATGGGTTTCCTGTGGAATTCCATTCATTTCCCTTAATTTAGCCTTCATATGTTTCTCTAATTTATGGCTATAGTCCACCAGATCTGTGAGGAAGCTGACGACAAGTGTCTTAAACTGTGCGTCTGAGAGATTTGCTATTTCTTCGTCACTTAGATTTATCTCCGGGACTTTGAGGTCCCCCTGCGACATTTTTGGTCTGTTCTGGCCCTTTAAGTGAGAGAAGCGGCGCCTTGGAGTCCCAGGTCGCTGGGTTGTGACGCTGTATGTGGGGGCGTGGTCAGAGCGGGGGAAAATGGCGCCGCCGCCGGTCCCCCGCTCACTCCCTCCCCCGCGCGTAACCGGGCACCCACAGTCAACTCGTAGTCACTCACCCGGTGGGCTGCTCACTAGGTCCAATCCTGGGTTTGGAACCCGTGCGACTGGATTCCGCGCCCGCGCCCGGGTCGTTCAAGTTCTCCTTTGTAACTCCTCAACCCGCCGCCGCCGGTTTTGCCTCTTACCGGCCGGGGCCGGAGAATTCGCTGTTTGCGGACTTCCGAAAAGTCGCTCGTCTGGGTTCCGTGCCCGCGCCCGGGTCGAACGAGTTCTCCTTTGTAACTCCTCAACCCGCCGCCGCCGGTTTTGCCTCTTACCGGCCGGGGCCGGAGAATTCGCTGTTTGCGGACTTCCGAAAAGTCGCGCGTCTGGGTTCTGGGTTCCGCGCCCGCGCCCGGGTCGCACGAGTTCTCCTTTGTAACTCCTCAACCCGCCGCCGCTGGTTTTGCCTCTTACCGGCCGGGGCCGGAGAATTTGCTGTTTGCGGACTTCCGAAAAGTTCAGTTTTCCGTGTTCTGGTTGTGTCTTCTGATGCTAATATTTAGTTGTCCTTAAACTTGGTTGTGAGAGGAGGCAGGCACATCCACCTTAATCCTCCATCTTGGCGGAAGTCCCTAAAAAACCATCGTTATAATGATTCTCTTTTCTGATTATTTTTGGGAAGAACGTCTTATTTTTTAAAAATTTTGGAGGCCAGGGAAAACAAAAATGCTGAGAACTGCTACTGTAGAGAAACATACACGTGCACTGATCCAAAGTGCTGCTTATAGAAGCCTGTAAAGTCGGGACTGAGCAGTGTGAAAACGGCGTTTGATGCTGTGTGCTGGATATCGTTGACCTCCTTGCATAACTCTGTAAAGCTGCTTTTGATGGTGTGGGCCCTCCATCTGTGTACAATAGTCATTGATTTTTGAAATTTCATCATAGCTTTTTCTTTGTCTTTGTGCGATTCCCCTCCTCCCGTAGTTGGAAGATCTAAGGCAGAGACTCAAGGATCTAGAGGATAAGGAGAAAAAGGAGAACAAGAAGATGGCTGATGAGGATGCCTTGAGGAAGATCCGGGCAGTGGAGGAGCAGATAGAGTACCTGCAGAAGAAGCTGGCCATGGCCAAGCAGGTGGGCACACTTCCTTTACTTAGCTAGCTTTGGAAGTCAGCGTTGTCTGACAAGTGAGTTATTGACAGTGAAGTTTGCTCTTTCATTCCAGTCTTTTTTTTTGTTTTTAAGATTTTATTTATTTATTTTTAGAGAGAGGGGAAGGAAGGGAGAAAGAGAGGGAGAGAAACATTGATGTGTGAGAGAAACATCAGTTGGTTGCCTCTCACATACCCCAACTGAGGATCTGGCTCACAACCCAGGCATGCACCTTGGCTGGGGATTGAACTGGCGACCTTTCAGTATGCAGGCCAGTGCTCAATCCACCAAGCTGCACCAGCCAGGGCTCCAGTCTGCTTTAAAATATTTTTTCTCCTATATGTATATTTGTTTGTTTTACATGGAAGTCTTTTATCCTTCAGTTATTTTGTTGTGTGTATTTGTGAAACATGAAGTTTACTTTTATTTTCAAATGTAGCATTTTGTTCAGAAAATGTTTACTGAGGGGTCTATCCTTTCTCTGCTGACCTGGAATTGGGGTATAATGAATATTAAATTAAAAAGATACAAAATTTTATGCATATTATTATTATAAATATATGAAACTAAGAAAAACACGTACCCCAACCAGATTATAAATGAATACCCAAAGTTTTAACTGTGGTTGTTTGTGGGTCATGGAACTAGAGAGACTTTTCCTCTTCTGCTAATGAGCATGTATTTCTTTAAGTGCCAGTGAATTTATTAACACTCAGTAATAAAGATTCCAAAGATGGCTGGAAAACCCATGTGTTTACCATACAGAACATCTTCAGTGTCTCTAAGAAATAGCAAAATGACAATGAAATGAAGTGTTTCTAATGGTGACTAGATCATTAAGTACCTTTAAAAGAGGAACATATTAGAATCTATATACATTCCTTTTATGAAAAATGGGGTTTTGACTTACTAAATCTGATCACCACTCCTCTCCCTTTTTCAAATAATTATCAGGAAATTGTATTACTGTAGGTTCTGGTATAGTTAGAAAGACACACTCAGTTCTTATCTAGAACAACTCATTATCTTAAAAATGTCAGTTCTCACTAAAAACTTGGAGGGGAGAAGACCTTTCTAGCTATTAATCAACATAAAAACATGAAAGAAAAGATCGATAATTTTTCACTTGTGAAGAAAAAGACCTTACAAAACTTCTAATTGGCAAAAACCACTGTTAGCAAAGCCAAAAGATAAATGACAGACAGGGAAAAACAAATTTCTAACACTTACCACAAAAGGGCTTATCTTTCTAATATATATTCTTTTAACTTAAAAAATGATAGGGGAGAAAATCCAGCAACCCAGTGGAACAATAGGCAAAGATAAGAATAGTTCACAGAAAAAAAAAATACAGATGACTCTTAAACATATGAAAAGATGCTCATTATAATAACACAAATATAAGGAAACTATTTTAGATATAGCCTTCTCTTATCAGTTTGTTATGCGGTGCTGTTGGAAAGTTTGTAGATTAAATTCAGTATTCTAATTATGAAAAGTGTGAGAAAACGTGAGGTTTTATGTTAGAAGTTCTCCTGACCAAGTACGTCTTCATCGGTGTGCTGGCCTCTGGTGGGGATATATTCCGTCTGTTGACACTGACGCTGAGAACAGGTCAGCGAACGGTGTCAGCCCAGCTACCAGTGCCAGCCAGCTACCAGTGCCAGCGGCTTCTGCACAGCAGGGCCAGCGTGGTGACAGGACGGTGCTTCTGAGAACGAAGTGCCTCTTCGTCTCTGGGTTAACTTGTTTTCCAATGAACAGTGGGTGGGGAAGTTTAGTTTCCTGTGCCCTTTTTTTGAAGTCAGATGATTTGATTAAAACGAAGGGTTTTCCTCCTTATTTTAGGAGGAGGAAGCTCTCCTCTCTGAGATGGATGTCACAGGCCAGGCCTTTGAAGACATGCAGGAGCAAAATATCCGTTTGATGCAGCAGCTGCGAGAGAAGGATGATGCGAATTTCAAGCTCATGTCAGAACGTATCAAGTCCAATCAGATCCATAAGTTACTGAAAGAAGAGAAGGAGGAGCTGGCTGACCAGGTGTTGACTCTGAAGACTCAGGTAATTAGAATGAATAGAGCTTTCCAGAATTCTGTTGAAGAAGGGTAAATTCTACGTGAAAATATGCATTAAAATTATGGTTATGGCAAATTTTTTTTGTAATAGCAAAAACTGGAAACTAAGTGTGTATCGTTAGGTAACTGGTAAATAAATTGTACATCCCTATCAAGGAGTACAGTGTAGCCGTTAAAACAAGAATGGGCCTGTTAATATAAAAAAGTACCTAAAATATATCATTAAGTGATTTATTCTCCTTTTATGTTAAAATACATGTCTTTGTGTCCATGTGCTGTGTATTCTAAAAATTTCTGGAAGGTGACATGACAACCGGTGAGAGTTACCTGATTACTTCTGGATGTTGGGATCAGAGTGTGGGGGGTGTGGCTTTACTTTTTACCCCTTAGGATTGTTTGATTCTGTTTTGTGCATGAATTTCAAGAAAAGACTACTTTTGAACCCGGAGCCATTCTGAAAGAGAGACGCTTGGCTTTTTGTCGAGCTGTGGTACATGCCGTGGTGTGGATGGCCAGGCACTTAGGGTCACGTGGCCGGGGAAGATGATGGTCTCTAAGTGTAACTTCCTCTGTTCTTGGCAGTTTGGAGAGAATCTTTTCCCTGGTTTCCCAGACTCTGAATCATCAGCAATATCATTTTGTGTTAAAAGTGAAGCTTTTAATTATTCTAATCTGCCGGGTTCATGGGTAAAATAGGTAATAGTTTGAGATTTCTAAGAGATTCTCTTTCGTGGGCCTGTGGATTAACAGTGCCTAGTTGGTTTTTCTTTTTGTTCCTGTTTGTGCTAAAATCTGATTTCCTTCTTCCAAGGTTGATGCCCAGTTACAGGTAGTAAGGAAATTGGAAGAGAAGGAACATCTGTTACAAAGCAACATCGGCACCGGGGAGAAGGAGCTGGGTCTGAGGACCCAAGCCTTAGAGATGAACAAACGCAAGGTATGACGGGTTAGTCTGTAACCTGAAGGGACAGTCAGTCTCAGAGGGACACATAAGCACGGCACTGGTGAAATTACAGGCTCACTTATCCCTTCGACTTGGGTGAACGTTTTGGCTCGCTGGAAACACAGGAGGTGATAAGGTGCCATTATTCGTACATCCCACATAGGCGATGGAGGCAGCGCAGCTTGCAGATGACCTCAAAGCACAGTTGGAGTTGGCGCAGAAGAAGTTACATGATTTTCAGGATGAGATTGTGGAGAACAGTGTCACCAAGGAAAAGGACATGTTTAATTTTAAACGAGCCCAGGTAAGAGCAGTTCTTTTTTCTTTACCTGTTACTTGCTAGGTGTTTTCTGAGCTCTCACATGACCCTCCTTATGAAGGGGCATTGGTCTAAAGTATGTCATTTCCTGTTTGACTCAAGTTTCTCAGGTTAAGAGACCAGAGTCTGTTTTCTTCACTGCTGTGTCCCCAAAGCCTGTCATGGTGCCGAACGCCTAGCGGGTATGAAGTAAGAACTACCAAAGGATGCCCTAGTAAATAAGTGGCAACATACCTACCTTAGAGGACTTCTATAAGTTCTCCTATACGTTTTCTGTTTTTGGCATGTCCGCTGTTTCTCGTGATGCTTTTCTGGTCTTATCCATAAATCTGTTCATTTTAATCCAGTCTACCCTCAGCTTAAAACTAATTGGCTTAAAATAGTGTCTCATCAAGTTTTTCATCTTTTTAAAAAATTTAATGTCTCTAAATTCTTAGAGTGTATTTTCAGTTAGTACTGAAATTGACCATAATTAAGTGCGACTCTAGTTTGGTGATAAGATCACAGTTGCCTGTTTTGAAACAAAAGAAGATATCTTGCCATTTGCAATTCTCTACATGCTTAAAAGACAATTGGGCATGAAACGACTTCTTCCCACAGCGGGGTGTTCAAGGTGGAGCGATGTCTTTCTCACGTGGCAGGTCTGGGGGTGTCTAACGGTGTGCGTCCTGCCACAGGAGGACATCTCTAGACTGCGGAGGAAGCTGGAGACCACAAAGAAACCAGATAATGTGCCCAAGTGCGATGAGATTCTGATGGAGGAGATTAAGGATTACAAGGTAAGAAAAACTATCTCAGTGATTGCTTTGTGGGTTTTTTGTTTTGTTTTATTTGGTTTGGTTAATTGGGGTCTGCAGTGGCCTGCTAACAGACTGGGAGAATAAATACTGAACTTCTTGACATGAATATAACCAGAGAATGGTTTATTCTGGGGGAGGAAAATGGTCCTTAGCGCTTAGTGGGTTTTGTGGTTGTCTGCTTGTGTCTGCAGGCCGTTTGGATCATAAACCTTCACGGTTGCTCACACTCTCCTTTCTGTTCTAGGCACGCCTGACCTGTCCTTGCTGCAACATGCGGAAAAAGGATGCTGTACTTACCAAGTGTTTCCATGTGTTCTGCTTCGAGTGTGTCAAGACGCGCTATGACACCCGCCAGCGCAAATGTCCCAAGTGTAACGCTGCTTTTGGTGCCAACGATTTCCACCGCATCTACATCGGTTGATCCAGGCCAGAAGAAGAGGAGGGGCCGGCTCGACAGGCGCTTCCTCATTAACCATCAAACCTCTACCTCTTCCCTCCCTGACCGTCACTCACAGGGCACTTTGTCAACCACCTGTCCTTCACAGACTTGACCTCTAGATTCTCGAGTAGCTAGATGATGTCAGGGGGCGGGACTGATAAATGCAAGTCTTAGGTTATAGGATGAACTAGAAACAAACAGCTCTTACTTGTCTCCCCACCAGCCTTTCGTCTCCAGGCTCTCTGTAAAACCTTGGATTGCCCATTTCACCTGCAGGAGTGGAGGTGGTGTTTTTGGCCTGGAGAAGGGACTAGGGAACCGATGAGCCACGTGGCTGTTTGGGGAAGGGTTGCATGTGTGATCTTTTAGACATAAGCTGTCGATGGGCACAGGCTTTTCTTGATTTAGATAACAAACTTTTTTGTAGACTTGGGTCAGGATGTTACAGTTGTACTGTTCTTTCCTGGATGGTTTGAAGCCTTAATGAAATTATTTCCGGGATGATGCAGTTCATTTTTTATTCACTAGCCAAGTAACTTACTGAGGTCAGCTGGCCTCCTTGTTGAAGTAATCTAGGTTTTGAATGTTCTGCTCATTAAATTCTTTAAATTTCTTGAGGCAGGTTAATTTCAGATACTGTAGTCCCTTTTATCTCCAAATGAAATGAAGATCGTAGAGGGTGGGGGCACAGTACTGAGACTATAAAGGGGGCTACTGGGTACTCTGGGGGTGCGATTCAGAGAGCCTGGGGGGGCTATGTATTTCTCTCAGCCTCCACAGAGGTCGTTCTGGTCCCTGTTTTCCGGAAGATTCCCTGTAATCTCCTTGTAAAACTTTATATTCCTCAAGCTTCAAATAAAGAAGGATTCAATTTGCTTCTGTGTTTGTTTTTCTTTGAAACTTTTGTGTTTGTCATCATTAGTTGATTTATACCTGCTGTTCTAGAATAGAATCCTCTTGAACAAAAATAATCAACTTAGAGTAAAAGGCTAACTGTGATTAGTTATTTGATTAATTGAAGCACTTTTCTCCCAGCTGTTTTATTGAGTCTGTTCTGCGGGGAGATTATGCTTAAAAGATGATGGTTTATTTCTCTATTCTTGGTTCTCTTCCATAGCTCACTGTCAGGGTAAGAGACTGTGACTTGTTTGCCAGGGAGCGTAAGGCTGTCTGGCAGTTTTAGTTGCAAGTTCTTGAATTTTAGGTTTATCGTAACCAGCCAACCTGACATCTTACGTATCTTTGACATGGGGTTGCAAAAAATGGATCCCTTCTGGATCACCACCTGTCCTAGGAGATGGGCAAGGACAAATTCCGTGTCCTTTTGTGGTCACTGCCTGTTGTAGGGGACCGGTTTGTCTTGGCCTGGCAAATGTGACTCAGCTCTGAATGGAAAACCTACAGAAGCGAAGTGGTGGGCAGGAGCCAGACCTTCAAACTGGGTTTTCCTGTGGGAATCAGGCCTAGAAAATGCATACAGGCTGTTGTGACTTGCTCTTGCTAAAACTCCCTCACCCTGGTCTAAAGCAACAGATGCATATCGTCTATCTTCAAGATAATTTCCAAAGCCTGTGTGAGCTGTCCCAAGGACAGAGCTAATCAGCTCATTACCGTCCCCCTCTGCATGTTATTTTTATTTCCTTGATTGTACCTAGAATGTAGACAATAATGTTTTATGTGATAGATAATAAATCTTTCTATGATGTAAGACCCAAGGAAAACAATAAGAGCCTGTCTAGGCAAGGGTCGGGGTGCTCCCCTCTTGAGGGAGTGGCAGAGGCATCCATCCACACTCTCCCCTTGGGAGAGTAGTTGTGCCTGTTCCCTTTTTCTCCACAGGATTGTTGTCGCCTGTGCATTGATTCTCGTCTTCAGCCACAACAGGTGGACTCTGCTGGCCAGGGTCTGCTACATCTGGCGCCCAAACAGGGGCGCAAAGGCTAACAGCCACAGCCTGTAATCAGCAAGACTCGTGATGAATTTCACAGTCATGTGGTATGGATTAAGAAACGAGTTTAATGACAATCTTACTGTGTCATCAAAGAGGCCACAGGTCTCTGGAGCCCCTCAACTCCCTGTCTGAACACACACACAGCCATGGAGGGGTCAGGACTCAGCATACTTGCCGTCAGCAATACGATACTTCCCGTTGCTGCTCTGTGCTTATGGGGCTGTCTGAGCATAACTTTGTTGGCTTGGGGGCCAACAGGCTACTTAGGCAGCAGGTTATGGTGGGCAGGTGCCAGGTACTGCTAAATAGTAACTTTAAATAAATTGAGGGGTCCGTTTTTGTTCTACATTTTTTCCTATGTCTAGGATAAGACTGACGTCCTCTTTGGAATCTAGGCCACGCGTATTTGTCTCTGTCTCTTAAGTCCACCAGTCCTCATTAAATGATAGCATGGCTAAGTCATTCCAAAACATCAAAAAACTAACTTCATTTGCTCACTGCCGAGCAAACAAACTAAATGCATGTGAATGAGAGGCATTTCCACCCAGCGGTGAGGATTCCGGTCTTTTAAATATGTTCCTGTTCAGATGAAAATCCCTTAATGGTTCCTCCTGCCCACAGGTGGCAGACACAAGGCCCTAGGGCTGAATCCCACCCTCCACCTTGTTTTATCTGGCCTGGCACCTTGTTTCTACCCAGCAGCAGCGCCGAGCTCTCACTTAACGAGTAGTAACATTTATACAGTCCTAAAATTACATTTGGCCATTTGGAGGCAACTGCGAGGCTGTTACAGCCCTTGGTGGAAATGAGTTTGAGATCCCTGCTCGAGTCTTTGGGGTACAAAATCAAGGTTAACACAGTGATCTTGCCTCTGCTTTGCTCTTTCCAGTCCTTAAAACTTACCACCCACCTTGTGCTTTATATTTCTGTCCTATTGAACTGTAATGTTTCTAAGTTGCTTTATTGCCATGGTTTCCCAACTCTGGGGCTTTGCATAGGTTTCTTTTACCTGGGCTGCCTGTTACCCTCCCTCTCACACGTACACGTGCAAAGTGATTACCTTGTTCCCATAGTACCTGGTGTGCATTTCTTTATCAGAGTAGAGGCCACATTGTTTTGCCCGTTTGTGTCTCCCCAGTAGTTGAGTTCCACGGGATTGGAATTGGCTTTTGTATCTTTCTATCTCCAGCAGCTAGCCCCAGTGCCTAGCTGAAATCCAATGAATGAATGAATGATGCAGAATGTCCTGGAGTAATTTGACGGTTGAATTAGGTTAGAGTGGGGTTGTATTTTTATGAGATTTGACTTGGGTATATTCCAACAGAATGTGTGTGAAGAATGCACCCAGCCAGCAGATTCACGACAAGTTTGTCAGAGCCAAAACTGCCTGAGTTGTCAGAGACAGCAGGACACCCGAGACTGCAGGCCTGCCGAGGGATTTGCAGCTGTGTTTATGCCTGATCTTGGTCGGACTAGGAAGCAAAAAGAGGCGCCTAAAATTATTTCTGTGACACCCAGGGGCTGTTGTGTTGAGTTGAGTGGACCAGTGCAGGTGCAGTTACCACATCAGATTCCCTCTCTGTGGAGCTGGGAGCCAGGCTGAGGCCCCAGACATGGGCGGTTGGCAGAAAGACTAAAGGGGAGTCAGAGAAAGAGGAATCCTGAAGGTGCTGTGTGGTTGTCCTGGAAACTGCACTGCCCGAGTAGTCTCTGCTGCTGCTGTTACAAGTCGGTGGCCATAGGCGACGTACAGAATTTCCCGAACCTTAGTTTTTCTATTTGTAAACTACAGGTCTGGTGTATCTGCTCCAGACTAGGCCTAGAGTACACGTGTCATGAGGTTATAAGGAGGATTATGGAAGATCACAGTTTATAAAATAAGTGATGGACAAATGTTAGCTCTTACGGTATTGTCTGTTTACAGGTTGCAAAAAGACCAGATTGAGAGAAGGCCCCTGAGGTTAGAGACCACACCTGTCTCATTCACCATCGTGTCTCCAGCCCTTGGCACATAAATCCAAGCTTTAGCCCATCTTTGTTGACTTACTAAATGAGGGTGGGTAGGGCAGAGTTTTTACGACTTCTCTTAATAGCATGGCTTTTCCCGAAAGTCTCTTGCAGATGAAGCCACCTCCATTCTACCTCATGACGCCAGGACTCTGAGTTTTCTGAGCAGATTTTGTGCCGCTTTGGATTACAGCCAGGAAATCAGCACAGGTCACAGCATCAGTGGCCCCCAGTCAGGAAGGCGCTGGGACCACATCAATGTTAGAATCCCCAGAGACAATGCTAGCAGTCCACCGAAAGTGAAGTTTCTGTCTGAACATTTATTCCACAGTCATAGAAACTGAAGATGGAAAAGATTTAAGGACATCTAGTCCATCCACGTGGTTGTACAAGAAAAGTGGCTGGAGCAAAACAGCCTGGTCAACGTCATGCTCACAAGACGGCATCTCAGTGGTTCCCGCAGCGGAGGGATCGCAAACACATTAGAATGAAGACACAATGCAAACAACGCTCATTATAAACCTTAAGAAAATACTTTTAAGTACATTATTTTCATAAAACAATTAGGGACTAAACTAAAAGAAGAAAGAGGGAATCCTGGATAAAATGGACGGCATCAAGGGGTGAAGAAAGGAACAATGAAACAATGAAGTGGTTTTGATGACTACAAAGTTTCTTTTGAAGGCTGCTTGGATCTCCTGGTTTGCTTATCGGAAATGTGAGTTGGGAGGAAGAGAAGCTCTAAAGCATTTTCTTTCCCCTCCCTTCTTTATCCACACCCAGGAGAGCTCACTAGCCGCAAGGCCCAGCAGACCCAGCACCAACACTGAGAAGCCCATCGCCCACCTGACAAAGCTCTGTTCTCCTTGGCAGCTGCTCCACTTACACTTCTCTGCTTGGCTCAGAAGCAGCAGGTCCTGTATAGAGTTTGTGCTACAGCAAAATCCAACAATGGAGCGTCACCTCCGGCTGCCTCACTTGTTTGTCCCAGTCCTTCCTCCAGCTTGGCTCTAACTGTTGGAGGAATCCTCTGTCCTCTACCTTGAGGCATCCGTGCTCTGGGGCCCTGACTATTACTGACACGGACCCATCTGTTTTAATGCACTCAGTCATTCTTTACTGCGGGCTTCCAGGGCCAGCCGTTCTGCCTTGGAAAACAGGGCTGGGGGGCGTGTGGCGCGACCATGTCACATTCCAGGTTTCCCAGCACCTGAGCTCGGACCAGAATGGCCTTCCTCATCTCATGAGTAACAGCCCACAAGAGGAGGCAAAGTTGCAGCGTCCTCGGCATCCTTCCTCACCACAGCACCACCTCCACCTGAGGACTTCTGAGCGTGGTGTTTTCTGAGCCAGAGGAGAGCTGAGAGAGCAGAGGTGGGGCAAAAGAGAAAGGAAGGTTTTCAAAGGACCTACCAATTCATGAAATCTTTTTACAAAACACAACATACTGTTTCACGAATTGCAAAAACACTGTTCAATCACTACCGATAAAAATAACCATTGCTACTTAACATGAAGACAGCTTCATTTCACCACAAGCAATTTAGCTTTGTTTTTCTTTACCCGGGACCAGGAGGCATTTCAAGCAGTGCTGACAGCAGTAAGCCTGCTTTCAGCCCCTGCTGCTTCTTGCCGCATCCTGGCCACGGTTTTGGCCAAGTGGTTCCCCAGAGGGTTCTGGAGGAGCTGTGCCCTGGTCATCCACCTCGTGGAGAGACAGGGCAGTTTGGCATGTTATCACCACTGCTCAGAATGCCTTAGTAGAGAAGCTTAAGGTAAACCCGATATACAAAAAACCCAAACTTACAAAACAGACATTAAGGGATAATTCATTGCGTTACAAAAGGATTCTTTACAAAAGAATTCACCTCTGGGTTCCTTTAAGTAGCCAGCTTCTCAAGTGCAGTCAGGAGATGAGTTACAAAAGTGTCCACGTACAACGTTAGGAGCATGGCTGTTCTGTGAGCCGAGGTACGCCTGCCTGTACGCTAGCCTTCTCGGCTGCTCGGAGGGCAGGCGTGCTCGGAGCGTGGTGGTGAGACTCTGCAGCATCCTTAGCTGTTGCAGATGGCGCGGGGTAGGGGGTGGGGATGGTGAAGCAGCTGAGGAGCATAATCTTTCAAAGGCAGTTGCAAACCCACCTCCGGGCCTGGGGTGAGAATAGGGCATTTCAAAGCAGATGTCCTTCCTCTTTCCAGGCTCACCTGTTCCCTCCCCTGCTGAACTGTTTCATCTGTGAGGTTGATGAAGTCTAACTTTAGAACCCTCCCACCTCCCTCATCAGTATCCCCGTGCCTACACCCACCCCTGGGTTCTCTCAGGCAATTAACTAATTGCTGAAGTGTTATCTAATTACAGCTTAGGGTGTGATCTTTCCCTGGGAGCCTGGATAGTTCTTGGTGGGAATGCAGGGGCTCCATTCAAAAGTAGGCTGTGCCTTTGCAGCATCGACAGCTGTTACAGGGCCCCGGGGCTTTGCACAGTGCTGCCAATTCATTGTGGGCCCGCAGATGGACTGGGCTGCAGCAGAGTACTGAGAAGATAAAGCAAACAATTGAAAAACAAGGAATTCTAGTCCTCAAAGGTGCCCGAAACTGGGAGGGCCTGTTCAGAAGGTGAATCAGCAGGTACTTGTGGAAGTTTTTAAAAAACAAAAAAAGCTTTTCTCGCTTCTCCCACTGCCTGGGACAGTCACACTTCTCAAACAGTGTTTCCTGAAGAGTGATTTTTGGACCACATGGGTCAGGTACCTGGGAGCTCACATCCAGTCTCTCCCCTGACCCCCACCCACTGTCTGGGGAAGGGTCCTGTCAATCAGCATTTTAACGAGTTGAACCTGGGTGATTCCTGGCCTCACTAACATTGGGAACTGAAGTTCGGTAGCTCCCAGAGCCCTTTGCTTTCCTGCGTGTCCAAGCAGTTGTCCAGTGGGAAGGGGGCGCCTAGGCAGAGGGGGAGCCACGTTACCAATAGCAATCTTTAAGGGCGTCAGGTGGGGCCTGGGAGAGGATCGGAGGGACCAGATCTGCTCGTGGCTCCTCAGAGGAAAGTGGGTGTGAGGCTGGGAGACTGACTTGGCTGTTATCAAGACAGGTATGAGAAGCACAGGGCACATTTCTGAATGGTGAAGCCTGCGATGTTCACAAGCTTGAGGTTCACTTTTGGGATTTTTTTTTTTTGATCCAAGAGATAGGTGACTGCTGATCTGAAAATGGCCTGGTATGGGGTTTGCAGAACATTTTCACTGAACCCACAGTTGCAGTAAGCACGGATATTCCGGTTTTGTCCTAAGGCCACACCCATGTTTTGTTTTCCTCTCTTTCTCTTTTACAAAAGGCAAGCACTGCCTTGGAGATGCTTAGCTGGATTACAAGGACAGTCCTGTTCATTTTTTAGCCAAATTAATTTTCTGGCCCAGTGCTTTTGTTCTAAAAGCATGGTGTATATTTTGAATGCTTCTTTGACTTGTCCTTTCTCTCTACCTGCCACATTCCTGTCCCCTTTCACAGCGGCATGTGAACACGTTCCTTCTAAATGTTCATCAGGATGGTGTCAGAGAGCTGGGACGTTCTCAGAATCAAGGCTCTCTCACCCAGTGCAATCAGTCCTTGCCTGCTGTGATACTTACCCTGTACCTCATTCAGGGGAACAAATCTGGACTGGGGAGTTGTAGCAAAAAACCACAACCCTGGATAGTCCTGTTCTATGCTGAGAGTGAAGCTGACAACCTAGTAAGACAAGGTCTGGGCAACAATTCTTTTTATCTCTCGTTGTTAGTGCAGAGAAAGGGCTAAACACCAGAAATAGTACTGTGGCACTCGGTGAAAAGGTTAACAGGAGCTGGGGTTGTCTGGTAATGCACAAATCCCTAATGCTGTACTCACTCCTGACTAATTTAAGATTCCTGCTCTGAAAGGCTGTTACCCTGGAGACCTAGGGAGTCAGCTTGGGAAGAGCTGCTGCTGCCTTTTAGGCTGGGGAGCGCGGACTTGACCTCTGAGAAGACCTGGACCTCAGAGTCCCCACACCTTTGTCAGTTGTTACAAAAGAGCATTACAAAGTGTCTCAAGGGCTCAGAGGCAGGCCGGAAGCGACAAAGGGGAGGGGCAGCGTCAGCTAGGACTCAGGAGTCCGTTTTGTCCGTTGATACTCTTCCAGCTCCGTTTTCCTGCTCACGGCCAGCTGCAGCTCTTGCTGGATCACCTGAATCTGCTTCTCCAGCTCCGAGAGCTCCTGCATCACTGAGTTCCGCGCCCCGTGTACGGAGTCTGCTTTCCCGTTGGTGGTCAGTGAAGCAGGGAGCTCTCTTCTCCTCGGAGGGAGAGGGATGTCCTGGTGAGTCCCGATGCCCAGTTGGTTTTGTCCTCCCTCCTCACTGAAGATGTATTTTCGTTGGCTGTCGTGACTCTGATTGGAAGTATTCCACACAGAGAGCTGATGGGGTCTCACGTTGGACCTGGGAAACAAAGAGGCACTGTAGGTTGACCTTCCACTCTGCAGCTCTCAAAGTGCCGTTCCCCATCTGTTAGCCCTTTCCCGGGTGAGTGATATGGAGCCGGGCACATAATTCAGAGACACAGGAACAAAGCCACGGGCAGACTGCCTGCTAGCTGCTGTCATGGGGATGAAAGGGGCCGATATAGTTCTTTTCAACTGAAGTTCAAGGTCTTATCAAGTCTTATGCTGCCCTAAAACTGGAATGGATGTATCCTCTGCAGAGCTAATGGACCAGGGCATGGCCCATTCTTACATCAAGAACCTTAGATGTCTTTTTATTCCCTTCCTGCCAGTAAGGCTCAGAAATCAGCACTGCCTTGAAACATTCTGTGGCTAGAAAGATGGTGCTTCAGTAAAAGTAAGAAATTGGTTCATTCAGCTGCTGGACTCTAAGCACGAGCCTGATCATAGATACTATCACATGGCTTATCTTTGGTCCCATAGGTAGGACCACACGGATGCTCACCACTTCAGAAGTTTGAGGAGAATAAAAGCATAGGAGCCACAGCCTTCAGCAAAGTCTCCCATTAGAGGGGTGCCTTTATGTGGCTTGAGACTGGCAGCTCAGTTCTGAAGCTCGACAACAACAACGAAACACACAAGAAAGCCTCACGTTCTTGCCAGGATAACGACAGTCAAACAGAGATAGATTGACAATCCTCTATTGGGCTTGGGTCGAACCACACACCACCGTCTCAGAGAGATGGCTGTAGACAACCAGAGGGTTACTGATGGCCAGGTATAGGAGGTGGGGGGGGGGATCTGGTTTCTGAAATACACTTTGACGGTTGGACACAATGAGAAGAGTTTCTTGCTACAAGATCAGATTAGAGCCTTATCTGCAAAGCCACTGATTTCTTCTAGCCTTATGGAACAAGGAGGAGGAGGAGGATATGACCACTTTTGCAGTCTATCACAGGGCCAAACAGAACAGAAACCCTCTGTTAGGTCCTTGTGTATTGGTCCCCACCCATATAACTGAAGGAAGATTTTATCCCTGGACTCTTACTTGCCAGGGATAAAATGGGGAGGACCTTCCCCTGAAGGGGAGGACCTTCAGGAGGAGGGGTCGGGGGAAGGATACTAAAGTCTTGGTTCAGGTACACGGATGAGAACTAAACCACAAGGATTCGTAGGATGGCTCTATTGCATTTTTCCCTGTGATAGAAGGCGAAAGTGCTCACAATTCTTTGTTCTTCCTCATCCATGCCCCTCTGTAACATGACTTTGCAGGTCATCCTTACTAAGGGGATTCAAAAGGGGGAAGTCTGTTTTTCCTTCCCTTTGAATTTAGTCCATTCTCATGACTGTTTTGGGCAACAGAAAGTGGCAGGTGGCGGTTTCAAGCCTAAACTTTTAAGAACCTCACACACATCCACTCTCTCTCAGACCCTGCTGCTGCAATGCAAGCAAGTCCAGACTAGTGTGCTGGATGATAACAGGCCATGCAGAGAGCGTCCCCAGCCCGCCCAGATCACCCAGCTGAGGACCCATCACAGACCGGCCAGCCCTGAATGGTCTCCTCCCTGCCCACAAGCTGGCTACAGACTTATGAGCCAATGCAGCCGAGGTCAGGCAGGTCAAATGCCCAGCTGACCCACAGATTCATAAGCAACTCCCTGTTGTTTCAAACACTATCAAGATAATTTCTCACATGGTATAAACTAACTGACATATGCCCCAAGCCATTGAAACACACAACCGCCCTGTTGTTCTTTAACATTTTTCGTAGTCTCAGTCTCATATAAGTGAGCAGGGGGTACCAGAGCTTCGCTTTCATGTGTCCTGGGCTGGGTAAAACTTCTACAATGAGCCCACTCGCAGTCCTCCTGGTTTTATACCTGGATCAGAGATGGGGTTACAATTTCCCTTCTAGCCTTTAATTGTTCACTTCTGCTTAATTTTTTTTCAACTCATTTCCCATTGAGTTTGAATAATTTCAAAACAATCTTATTTGTGGTATGTGTTATATGGTTTACGATTTTTCTGTATCTAGGAGTGATGGGAAAGGGAAAAGGGGGGTGTACTGGAAATGTGGGGGGAGAAGGATACCAAAACTTACATGAAATCACATGCTCAATAAACCAAGGGCTATGTATAAATAGTCTCTTACAATTGCTACTTTTTTCTCTGCTTTAAATAAAAAAGGAGCAACATCAACTTTCATACCGTGACCCAAAGTTCCTCCCAGCCTTTCTTCAAACTCATATGTTAGTAACTGACTCATTTATCCATTGCTTTATTCACTCAACAAATACGGAGCTCACAGGGGGGATGTCACGGTGTGGCAGGCATGGGCATTTGCATAGATACTCTTCCAAAGAAGACAGTGGAGAGTTTTCAAGCCAACAGAACAAACTCTAGTATCCTAGGATGATTCACAACCGGATGGGGAAAACCCTGGAGTAGGGGTATCTACCTTACCTGTTTTCTTGGACTGTACAGGCAACCACAGAAATCAGGTAAGTGGATTTAGCTAATCTAGTTTTCTCTAGAGCTTTGTACACATATCTGGAAAAATAATGTGGATGAATAAGCAAAATCTGGATTACAAGACAAACTACTTTGGTATTGCAAGTGCTCTGATAATGGACAGGTGGCTCTGGGCCACCATGAGCGTCAGACTTGGTATCTGATCCGACCGTGGTACACTGCTGCTCTCCACAGTGTTTAAATTGTGTTGTGTATGGAGCCTTTCTCAGCCTTGGAGTGGAACGTGACCAGTGAGTGAACTGTATTTAACACGAAAAAGAAGCCAAGCAAGCTTCTGCAAAGCAGTCACAGACATGGAGGTCCAATGCTCCCCTAGACCATTCAGAAGGACATGACAGCTGTGGGACCCCAGACACTTGCTGCGTTTGACAAGCTCCAGGGGGGAACTGGGTTGTAAGCAGGTGGCACAGGAAATGGGGACGCAACCCGAGCCACAGGGCTTTGTTCTGCCTTAGTTCCTTCTCAAAATAAGGGGTTCTGGAAGGGGATTTGCCAAGAAACGTGGGTAAGTTGAGTGCAAGATGCATTTGGTTCTCAGTTTAGGCCAGAGAGATGTGTTTGGGACTCATCACAGCTGGAGGGGGGCTCCCTGGGCCTCCTGTTTCCATTATGGCTGGAAAACAAATGCTTTGTCATTATGCGATGATGTCTTTGCTGCTGTGTCTTCTTGTGTTCCTCTGGTTAAACACTGATGTAAAAAATAATTACAGAAAAAATATATGTAACATGACATAGAACAGCTGGGACCTGATTAGCCTACAGCTTGTGGCTGACAGGGCTGTGGGCTATGATACAGGGAGATCACAGACGGAGCACGGGTGGGGGGACGGGGGCGGGGGGGGGAGTCTGCTCACCGACTGCAAAGAGGCTTTACCGGATAGTGGAGGGGATTCTGACAAGCTGGATGCAAAGTGGAGAGATGGGGATTGCACAGTCCCGGGAAGGTTCAAACAGGAAAAACGAACCATGGTTTTCTCCCCATTTTCCTTTTCCTCTATTAGAGAAGTGTGAGTGTCAGGTTTCAAAATTACCCAGAAAGCCAAGCTTGGAGCCTAGGATCTGCCCTAGATGACAGTAGCTTGCAGGTAATGCCCTGAACAGAGGCCCCTGGGCATGTGGAGGAGCCAGGGGCCGCCGACGCCAGGAGCCAGCCCCAGACGCTTCCGACATCGTTAGCTACCATGAATGAGCAGACAACCGTCATCCACAGGCTGGATGTGGGCGAGGGGGGTGAAAGTCTAGTTTCAAACATCTTCTATGCATTTAGTGCGCGTTACTTCCTGGTAACGAGGTCCTCTTTTCTGGGGAGTTTGTAGTAAGAGTGCCAGGAAATGAATTAAGCAGAGCACATCTGTTGCCCACATTGCCTATTCCCAGGAGTACTGCAGGGGAGCGGGGAGCGGAAACACGCCCAAACGCAATTAATAGTGCGCGAAATGAATTACCTGCAGGATTCACAAACTGCCTTACCTGTATTTTGTACACAAGAGTGATTACTAAAATAGCTTTGTTTTCAGGGATTTACGTGTATTATCTCATTTAATTCTCACTGCATCTCTCTAAGGAATAGGTACTGTTTTTATCTCAGTTTCATGCAAGGAAACTGTGGCCTGGAGCAGTTAAATGATGTGCCTAAGGCCACACCTGCTGCCAGCGTCCGAGGCGGGATGTGGATCCAGCCGCTTCACTCCAGCGGCCACACCTGAGCTTTTACCCACGACGAGTGTCACCTAGGCTGCATTTCGGTGTTCACGTATGTACAGATATGTTCTTTGTTTGGTTTCTACTTGAAGTCACACACACTTCTACTGATTGTGTTTATCAACAGCATCATCCTAATTTGATCTGAATTATCTGTGCGTAATTTCCCTGTTGAGCACAGAGTGTCACTTTTATCTCTAAACTTTTCCATGAACAAATCTGAAGATGCCTGACATTGGCTTCTTCTTACCTCTTCGCCACACGCTTAGTCTTGAAATGTGGCTTCTTTTCCTCTACGAATGTTGTATTTAGCGCTCTGTGTAATCTCTGGTGGAAAGAACAGATTCACACATAGAGATCATTAGAAACATACAGTCAGGGACAAAGTTCTGCCTGTGATTTGATAGTGTATCTTGTCGCTACAGACCTTAGCCTCTTCAAACAAACTTCCAGGGGTGCCCAAAAAGAGATCAACATTCAGTCCCAAATCTCAAGAGAACAAGAATTATGTTATTATCCTACCTGGAGGGAAAAAATAATTTGATGGGAAGCTTAGGGATGCTCTGGGTTGTAACAAGGTACATAAAAAAGAGCTGCCATGACCAAGGTGTGGCAAAAGGCCCAGTGCATTTGCTAATGATGCGTTAAAAAAAAACCCCAAAACCCGAGCTTCCTAGCAGCCGAAACAAAAAAGGAAAGAAGATCATTTGAGAATGAAAGTAATCCCATTAACACACAATGAAGATCAGTTGTCTGAGGAATTCTCCTTAAAAAACCAAATTCTTCCTAGGATTAAGATAGGAAAAACAGGGTTCAAATGTAACTGAACCAATGTAAGTTACTTAGAAAAAAATGTACTGTGATAACAAAGAGCAAAGCCAATGACTGGAGCAGAAGTGGCCCCATTTTCTGGACCACTGAAAATACAGAGAGAACAAGGGTGGGTGGGTTCATAGAGAATCAGGGGCTTTAAGCTCATTGAATGGATTCCAATTTTGGCAAGAAAGGAATCTATGGAAAGCAAATTTTCATGTCCTCTCTTTAGATTGTCACTATTTGTTGAAACCAGGTTAAAAACAATTCTGCTGCTTTCATTGTGAGCAGCAGTGGAGGGTTATACAGAAGGAAGGGTCTTTCAGGGAGAGCTTAATTTGAGGGGAAAGTGAACTAATGGAATAGAGGGAACTGTGTCTTGTACAGTGAGGGCGTCTGTACCACCCTAGTTCTCATGGTAACTTGTCGTTTGTCAGTCTGACTTGGGGCTCTGCAGATTTCTCCCACTACTGGGCATTCTGACGTTGAAGGACACTGGAGCAAAACAAACAAACAAACAAACAAACAAACAAACAAACAAACAAACACTGGAGCAAGGCGCCTGTGGCACGCACCTGACTGGTGTGGAGCCAGTACTGCAGCCTCGATTTGTTCTTGATTCGTGGTAGCAGCAGCCTGTACACTATGTGCTCACCCACGGCCGTCAGGATGGACAGACCCAATCCTGCGCACAGCAGCACGAAGAGTCCCGAGAAGTGTTTGATGCCCATTTGCAGAGTCTGGGGCAAAACAGAAAAGGACAGGCCGTGAACATGATGCTCCCCTTGGGCCCTCACTGGTTCTTCCTCAGAGGCAGATGGGTTTTTTCTAGACCCGGAGGATGCAGGAGACTGTGCCTTCCTGTGCACTCTGTAGAGCTCCCTGTGAAAGGAATGCAGCCCGGATCGAGGCCGCAGCGGTGCAGTTCCTGGGAGCCACTCCCACAGGGTCCTAGAGTAGGAAGGTGCCGGGCTGGTGCGGAGACCCTGAGTCGGGACCACGCTGCCGTCTCCACGGAGAGGCTGATGGGGAGTCCGATGACAGGAACAATTCAATACGTTAAAACCTTGACTGGTTGGTTATCAAGAAATGAACCTCTCTCAGGGGCACAGAATGTGTAGGTGTCAGGGGAAAAGATGATGAATTCAGTAATTTTGAAATTTAGGTCTGGCAGGGAACGTGGGCATCGACTACTTCAATGTGCTCACTTTACAGATGAGGAAGCTAGGACCAGAGAGGTGGTCCTAGGTCCCCACCTTCGTCAGCCATAGAGGAGAGAGAGATGGGACCTAGGATTTATGGATTGACAGGTATGATAACTGCAACCGATAGTTGAGGACACTGATGGCCCTGCAGCTTTGAAGTGACCACGTTGGTCTGCAGGTCCATGTTTGTGTCACTCCCTGGCCTGGGCTCTGCTGTGGTCGCAGCAGCAACAGTTACAGTAACTAAACGGGCAGGCACTTCCCTGCGGGGTTTGCCTGTGATATGTAAGAACGCTCATGAGTTCTCTGCGGAGCAGGTGTTACCAGTCGCTGACATCGATGACGAGTCCATCCTGTAGAAGGAAGGACATGTGATCTGTTGAGTGCCTACTAGGTGCCAGGCACTCTTCAGAGTCCCACAGGATGGAGACAGGAGGGTTTTGTCCTTGCCTTGAGTCAGCTTCAATCTCGGGAGGAAGTGAACAGGTATCCTCACAACCCCTGGGTTTTGGGGGGAAGCTGACTCATGAGATGAAGTTTAGACTAAGAGAGGCGGGTGGAACAGTAAGCATTCTAAGCCTGTGGTGCGGAAACAGAAAGGGAAAGACATGACGCCCTGGCACAGTGAGGTAGGGCTTGTGAGACAGACTGCGGCTTAGGGGCAGGGTGCACGAGGCCTGTGTCGTGGGGGAGAAGCTGGGACACCGGGCAAGCCCTCAGATGCCAGTGCTAAGGAGGAGCCCGGGTGTCATTCCTTTGCCACAGGCCTTTGGTCATCATTGTTGTCTGTCTCATCACCCATCTTTATCTAATACGATGTGTGGGGAGCACGGTTCTGAGCTCTTTACCAACGCAGTAGCTTGTTTAATACTCGTAATGACCTATCAGGTAGGTAGGAGCTGTTACCATCTCCACGTTATTGGTGAGGAAACTTAGGAACAAAGGAGCTAAATAACTGGTCCAAGGCCATGTAATTGGTAAAGGTCAGAGCCGAGGTTTGAACCCAGGCAGCTAGTCCCAGAGCCTACACTCGCAATCACGTCATTGACTGATGTGAGTGATCCTCCCATCCTCTTGAAGGGATTTTCCTTTCTTTCATTCTCCCCACCTCCACTCCCAGTTCCAGAGAGAGAGCCAGCCAGGCGTGATTCAGGCCTGGCTAGACCTCCCAGGTATTCCAGGAAGTGCATCGACGGGGCAGAGTTCAAAGGCAGAGCTTGGAGGTCTCAGGCATTGGTGGAGGCCAGGGCAGGGAATCTCATTTCCTCCACGACACTACTTCAGGCCGTGGCTCTGGCTCAGAGATGGGTGCTGGGGTCCCTGGTGAACTAATGACTACAGGTGAGCAAGGGTGCAGAACAGACACCAGGTCCAGGAGACTGGGATACAGGCAGGAGGACTAGGCAGATGGCCTGAGAATGCAGGCAGAAGCCCAGCCCTAGGAAGCAAGGCCTGCTGGGCCAGGATGGGGTAAGGAGGTGTACTGGGCCCGGAGGGCGACACAGGTGCTAGAGCTTTCCTTGGGACATCTCTCTACAGATGGTAAACAATGTCTAACCTTGACCTCCAGAAAGTGCTTACAAATGTGCTTGGAAATAACTTTTGGCCTGGACCTGATATAACATATACAGGAACCAGTTATCACAGAAGGGTTCAGTGTGTTATTACTGCTATGGATGAAGAGCAAACTGAGGCAATTTGCTTTGGACTTTAGCATAAACATCATCAACCATTTGGAAAAACACTGAACAGACTGGCACTGCTTTTTTAAAGGCTCTGCCAAGATGAGGAAGAAAAATGTAACTTATAGTGAGTCATCGTCCCTTTATTTATTTACTCTTTTATTATTTTTATGATTTTAAGTTGAACTTATTGGGGTGACATTGGTTAATAAAATGATACAGGTTTTCAGGGGTACAGGTCTATAACACATTGTCTGTATGTTGTGCTGGGTGTTCACCACCCCAAGTCAAGCCTTCCATCACCATGTATCCCTGTATCCCTTCTCCTACCGACCTCTCCCCTCTTCCCTTCCCCTCTGGCAGTCACCACGAATCATCTGTATTCTTGTGCACAACAATAGTCTCCTTTTCCTCTTGTTACCTCAACAACAAATAGCTGTATTCAGTTTATTTTGTACATCTCTTTCTTTAAATTTCTGTTGTTTACACCCATATACTAATAGACAAATAAAAGTATCAAGTTACTTTTTTTTAATTGGGCATCTAATATGTGTACCAGACACCAGTGGGGTCCTATGGCCTTAGGATAACCCTGTACATTAAATATCATTATCCCCACTTCACATCTGAGAAAATTGAGACTCACAGAGATTGATGATGTAACCCGGGATCACGCAGCTACCCAATGGGGAGCCGGGCTGTGGATCCAGGTCCGTCTGAGGCCAAAGCCCACACAGCTTTCAAACACACACCGTTTACAGATCCCTTGCTGTCTGCACTGTCTGCTCCCTATAACAACTTGCAAGCATTTTTATTCAAAGCTCAGCATCCTAATTGAAAACCCACTATAATCTGCCTGTGAGTGCCAACAGAAATGTTTAAATTGTGTCTGAGCCTGAGCGATAAGACGTAGGGCTGCAGCTGTCACTCGGCCGCTCGTCCTCGAGGCCCACAGGGTCCGTGTGCTGTGCATGGGTTATGTGCACCTGCTCCGTGTCATCACACGAGAACTGGTTTTCTAATGAGGTGGAACTGGTTCAACGTGACATGTATCTTTGGTGAGAGGAAGAAGGAGGAGAGGAGCAATGAATATTCAATGTCAGATCTGTAAAATAAATTTAAGTGAGGCAGACAAAATGATGATTGCAGTTGTGACATGAGAAGAAACATCACATTCAGATTTGCAATCAAAGCCCGGACTCATGTCATCAAGAGCTGCATAAATGGAAGCAAAGAGATGCAAACAGAAGTATGCTTTTTATTTTCTTCATCACTTCACCTGCCGCTTCATCTGATAGCTCACAGCCACAGGCTCCTGAGGTCCCCAGGGTCGAGGAGAGAAGACTATCCCAGGGTTTAGCCAGGGAGAAGTCTCAGTCATTTATGGTTTCCCTTTGTCCTTCGCAAGCTCGCTGCAGCTCACCCAATCTCAGATAACTCTTTAATCAATAAGTAATCATTCAGCCCTGACCTGTGTGGCTCAGTAGGTTGGGTGTCATCCTACAAAGTGAAAAGTTGTCAGGGCACATGCCTGAGGTGTGGGTTCCATCCTTGGTTGGGGACAACTGATCAATGTATCTCTCTCACATCAATGCTTCTCTTCCTTTCTCCCTCCCTTCCCTTCTCTCTAAATAAAATCTTTTAAAAAAGGAATTATTCAAAAAACTACCTGTGTGCTCATTTTATTTTGCTAAATGTTATTTATACTTATGTTTCCTTAATATTTTTATTTTATTGTTCATTTACAGTAGTACATGTGCATTGCACTGTGGAAGGAAACACACCCTGCACACTGAACCTACAAATACCCAGTAATTAAACATTAAAAAAGAATGGTGTCTTAACTGCTTTGTGCTATGCAGAAATCCTTGGTAGACTGCCCCACAGGACAATCCACGCATTGTGCATGAGACATTGAACATCTATAAGGTGCCTAAGAGTGTTTTAGTGATATTTAGGGAAGCTGGTTGGGTTTTAGTGGAAGTGGGAGTGCTTTATTGTTTTCCCCATCTAGAGTAATGAGAAGGACCCCCACCCTCTGCAAATTCAGTAGCTAACACATTTTCTGGAACAAACTAGATTCAGATAAAGGGAGGTGCCTTTACTGCCCAACGCTCGGAGCGGTCTCTGTCCAGATCTTCAGTGCTCCCCCTGACAGGTAGAGGCTGGGACCGCCAATTTTGTTGCTGCCCAGACCTTGCTTTGGGTCCTCCTGCTCAGATGTAGATGCTGGAAACATCTGACAGCTGGTTAGATAACTGACTAGTTCTCAAACCTCCAGCAGGATGTGCAGTCTTAAAGTATTTCACTCATCGTGTGCCTTAGATGTTACTGGCTGAGTCCTATGAACTAAGCCTGCCTAGCTCCCAGTCCATATCTCCCAATGCACAGCAACTGCTCAGTTTCTCTGGTCCTCTAAAGAGTCCTCTGCTACTTTCACTGCCCATTCTCTTTCCCTGACCTGCTCCAGCAGGTGTTCGTCCTCACCCATTACCTAAACAATGCCCATAGAAGACATCAGTGACCTTCACATTGCCAAATCCACTAGTTTTCACCTTATTCATTATCAGCCCAGACACTGTTGCTTATTTAATCTTCTTTATTTTCTTCACTGTTCTTGGGATTCCTCTCTTTTTATTACACATCAGTCTTGCTTTCTGGTTCCTCCCCATCTTTCTGAACATAAAACACTGGCAAGCCTTCAGTGACTGAGCTACATTCACTTTCTTATCCAGACTCATGGCTTCAAATGCCACCTATGTGCCAATGACTTCCAAATTTAGATCTTACCCAGCTCCCGACTCAGCCTCGCTATGTGAATATCTAACAGACATCTCAAATTAACACATCAAA